CTACGATGTCAAAAAGTTTCTCCATCCTCTTTTGCCTTCATAGGCCGCCTGATACAGCTGAACGGACAGTAAAACCCCTGCAAGCCTGCGGACTTAGTTGTTCATGACAACTGTTTATAGTCCTCTTCTCACCTCTGGCAAATTTCAGTCAACTCACCTCATCAAGCAGAGTCTGCCGTTTCTCATCACTGTGTTGCAGGCACATAGCCAAGCTACGCAATGCTACCAAGGTCCGCGTTGCTCCAGGATGGAGAACCCAACGAAGGCAGCGAGCCCAGAAACAAGACAGAGTACTTTCATGACAAGTAGAATGATCCTAACAGTCACGCACCGCTCTACAGACTACTGTCCTCCTAGCCTCAAGCAGCCACACTTCACTTGGCAGGGCACCGTCTCGGCTGCTAGTCACACGAGGCTGGCCCCCTTCTTCAGTATTGCACGTCACCACAGGGGTGCGCTTCTGTGCCGGACTCGTTCTTGAGACGAGGAGCAGCTCAGTGGCTAGAATAGCTGCCGATACAGACACAACTCGGCAAGGAAATTTACCCACTACGTAATGGGCTCTGCGGCTGGCCTCACTTTGTGTGAGGTGCGGATACCGGAATTGCCGCCTAGAGCGGTTTACCCCGGCGGACCGCCGGGCAGGTCTTGAGCCTGGAGCAGCGTATCCCTTCAACAAGTGAGGCCGGGTCTGCTCAAGAACAATCCGAGTGTGTTCGCGCGCTAAACGCTCTGCCACGATACCAGGCAACACAGGTGCATCAACAAACAGTGCTTAAAAACGCTTGTTGTACTAGGCCCTGGCTCAATTTCTCTGTTCTAAGTGACAGTCTCCAACTTCCTCCGAATGTCGCCGAAACGCCATTGCCGCACAGAGCCTGACGCCATGCCAGCGATGACAGGGGGCAGTGAAGAGGAGCAGGACGGCTCGGAAGCGGAGGCTGTCGACTTAGGTGAAGAGTCGGAGACGGATTCACTATTTCGATCCTCCCCAGACGAGATGCCCACGGCGCCAGCACGAGACACTCTGCTGCGCCCAGCAGCAAAGGCTCGCACTGGACGACCAGAGGAAGGAGGCCTTCCTACTACGCCTGCCCCGAACTCGTCCATCGCTTGGAATGGGGTGCCTCCCTACATTAGCCCGGCCGGGCCACCACCACCATCACGCAGTGGAACGGACTTCCCAATCCCGGGAACAAGGCCAATGCACGAGGCTGCGCCCCCAGTGTATACGCCGGGGGAAAGGCTGCAACTCTGGAGCTTGACGCTCAGCCCAGGGCCGGTAGTGGTCATTCAAGGTGTTCCACGCCGCACCTGGTTCTTCCAGCTGCAACAGGGGCACGTCCACAACTACGAGGGGCCGGCTGGACCTCATCAACACGTCCTCGTCTCCCCGATCCACACGCTTACTGGCCCACCAGTTCCGGTGGTGGGATACAGCACGCTTGAACAACAGGCAGAGTCTGGCAGTTCAGCTCCTGGACGCTGAACACTGGCCAGTTTTTTCCTTAATCTTACAGCCGAACCAGACTCAATCTGAGCACTGCTCAGCTGGTGAGGAGCACTGCTCCCATGTACAAAAGTAACAAACATCGACGATTGAGAGGTCGCACAGCACTGGGGAAAAAGCAGGTCTTAACATTATTGCAGTTTGAGACCGTTTCTTCACCAGCCATGTAACTAGTGAGGATTGCCTCACTCTGAATCCGGGAGGCCCAGCCCAACACTCACTGCTGCAAATCAGCCACAGTGACTGCTCTACGGTCCTCTGCCTCCCTGCATCAATGATCCATGTGGGACGCCACAAGATGGACATTGAGGGAGACGGCCAATCAGGTACGACCCACTTGCAGGAAGGTGCGTGTCTACTGGACGCAGTGAGACACAGTAGGATGACGGGAGCTACAACTTTTTCACCCATAGGACAGCTAGCTAACAAGCTACAGCTCTTGCTCAACACTCAAACCAAGTCAAGAAGCTCGCCTCGTCTCACACTGATCTACACCTAGTGAATTCGGTTTCACCTCTCCAACCGCAGCTCCAAACTAATTTTCGGTGCTCAGAACGGTGCGAATCGCCCGCAATGAGCAGAGCCCGCTCGCTCAGCGTTCAATAAAAAAATAGTAATAGTAGTAGTAGTAGTAGTAGTAGTAGTAGTAGTAGTAGTAGTAGTAGTAGTAGTAGTAGTAGTAGTAGTAGTAGTAGTAGTAGTAGTAGTAGTAGTAGTAGTAGTAGTAGTAGTAGTAGTAGTAGTAGTAGTAGTAGTAGTAGTAGTAGTAGTAGTAGTAGTAGTAGTAGTAGTAGTAGTAGTAGTAGTAGTAGTAGTAGTAGTAGTAAGTAGTAGTAGTAGTAGTAGTAGTAGTAGTAGTAGTAGTAAAGGAGTAGGAGTAGTTCTAGTAGGAGGTCCGCAAAGGCTGTTTGGGGGCTTTTCGTTCGACTCAGAGGAGCAGAGAATTCATTTAAGTTCCACCCCCTCGTTTCAGGTTTTTGTTTTTGTGTTCATCTTTCGAAAATCTGCTAAATTCCACCTTCCTTGTTTTTCGTGTGTCCATTAGTCGAAAACAAGAGAAATAGAAGGCAAGTAGAGAAGTAGAGAAGAGAGAAGTAGTCTCCATCGCCCTCGTTTCTCGGTTTTGTTTCTTGCGTTCAGAAATCGAAAGTTACAGAAGTAGGGAAGTGGAGAATGAGTTTACATTCCACCCTCCGGGCGGTCGGCAATGCGGTGCCCCCAGAAAGCCCCGAGGTCCTAGGTGTCGACCATCGTTCCGGTGCAATTTTCCACTCATTGCTGCCCTAGTTTCAGGCTGCCTGCGCCTCAATAAGGCCTCCCTGATTAAGTGCTCCTGGGCTCAGATTTCTTACTCCAAGAACGTCAGTTCAACTCCGTCCGCATCGACCACGTCCGAGGCTTTATTCGGAACGATCTTGCCAACGACCAGAATCGGGGCTACGACCAAGCGCTGGTCCCGCGGTCATGCCTTGTGTTGCCCAAAACCCCGATAGTTGGACCATCGGTAGAAACCTGGTGAACTAAAAGCGGACACCAACAGCCACAAATTGAAGCAAAAGAACTGCATGATCGCAGTATCACTTCCACAACCCAGAAAACGTCGGGCTGGATGGTGATTCAGCATGACCCAGCCTCTTCTCTGCAAAAGCAAGATGATGAAAGCAGGACTGGAGGAACAGCGAGCTGGAGCCCATCATGTGCATTAATCCTGAAAATGGTTTGATAGCACTCTTCTCAAGCAACTTGTTGTGCATAAATGCTTCGATATCCGAATTTCGCGTAGTCTTTGAGCAAGCTTGGATGGACGATTGCGATGTGTACCTGCGAAACCTTCGGATTCACAGCTATGCAATCGTCCTCTACAAAGGCACTCTTAGTGAACGCAAACACGCTGACTTTTGCGGTCGCGCCGGTTGACAAAAGATCCCGGACGGATACAGGCCGACTCTGCGGATACAATCCGATGCGGGACCAGAAACGGTATGGGACATGTACCGAGAATGCAGCACACACAAGCCAGGAGAAGTCAGGAAACAGGCAACGGCGGTGGGTCTTCAAACATGTACCAAACGAGCAGTGACTAAGAAGAAGCAGCACCTTCAGCACGCTAGCCAGTGGCTGCGGCGAGCGGGCGGATGAGAAGGTACAACGAGGCTATACGCCGTTGCGGGCTAGAGTGCAAAAATAGGTGTACAAGTACAACCACGTTCACAGCTATGCACTTAGAATGCATTGCCAAGACTAGGACTAGGAGCGAACGCAAACACGATTTCTTTTGCCACACTGCTGAAAAAATTCCAACAGGCAGGACGGACGAGAAGCGACTCTGCGGACGCAGTCCGAGGCTGGACCAGAAACGGAACCTGGACATGGACCACCAAAGATTTCAGGCGCACGCTTGACCCGCAAAAGGTAACAGGCCAGCATTCCCTGAGGACACAGCAGTATATCAGAACAATCCGTGCCATGCCAATATTCAGATCTAGGTTAACTTGGCAAAGTTCTGGCTAGCGTTTTACTTGGCGAAAATTTGCAAGCTTCAAAAACCAGCTGATGCACGCTGGCCCACTTTCTGGCACTTGCCTTGCAGTTTGAACTTGCAGCTGTAGTTGCAATCCGTTTGGGTTTATGCAATGCGTACACGCCGCCTGATGTTGTATAACTGGGCAGTGCTTGTCACGCGAGTCTCTTTTGGTAAGGCAGTACGTATCATGAGCAGTGATGCTTGGTTTCGTACTGGTGTTGCACGCGTGCCTGTACTTGGCATGATGGTACTGGCCCAGAATGGGCAACACCCTTATTTGAAGAAGTGGATTGTTTTGATTGTCAGCAAAACAAAGCATGCATGAAGTTTGTTTTCATCAAACCAAGCATGAATGCACATGATGTGAGTCGAATTTTATGATTGCTTGACACGGCATGTTTGAGAGAATAAATGGGCATGCTGGCTCTCTCCTCTCAAGTTTTGAGTGTCAGACGGAAAACATCTTTGAAGCGGGTTCGGGAGTTTAATTTCTATGAGCCATCGCATACGCGATGTGAGTGTTGCATGCGGTCCACAAGGCAAATAAGAGGACATCACTTGCGGGAGGCTGGGTGTGCCATGTCGAAGATCAAGGAATGGAAATGTTAAAGAAGTCCCACATAGATTCAAACCTCACATGAAAAGGGCAAAGCCTTCCACATATCAAACACGTTTTTTGGCCGTAGTGAGGTACTGACAGTAGATTCGAGAACATTGTTGTCTTCATGTTGGTCATTGAATCATGGCATGCAAGTTGCTGCAGGAAGTTTGTGCCAAAATTGCAGCATTTGGCTTGACACTACATTGTTTCCTTGTTTTCCTGGCTTGCCCCCAAGCTTTCCCGGTTTCCTTTGCGTTCGCCAAGTCATGCGTGGCCTGCTTGTCGCCTTGCTTTGTGGTTGGGCCTCTGCTGAACCCACGTGTTTGGAGGACGAAGCTCGGTGTGTAATCTGCAAGACCTGAGCGATGTCTCAAACAAATGGCATGGCATTGCTGTCCAATGTCCAGGGTTGGTGTTGTTCGCCGCATTGAAGTGTGCCTTTGCAGTCAAGGATTTCGGTGTGTTCCTGTCGGTGCACCAGCATCGCGATAACATTTCCGTGGCAACCGACCAGCCTCCTCCCGGACCGCCTGGACCTGGAGGACCAGGACCAGGACCACCTGGTGGACCTGGTCCCAAACCGCCCCCGCTTCGCCCTGAGCCCAGCCTGGACAATGCCAAACTGGTTCAGCAGCTGGAGGCTCTCCTTGGAATCGTAGAGGAGGACGTGACTGCTGCTGGTGAAGGTTTGACAGGCACGGCCAGGCCAAATTTTTCATGCCCACGTCACTTCGTTCATGTGGGGTTTTGGCTATGCTGACTTTGCTTATGCTCGCTTTTGTGGCTTGCGTGGAAGGATACCTTGGAAGCACGCTTTACTACTCGATGAAGAAGCTTGCGGACCTAGACGTGTTCGCTGTCGAGGTTGACGACAAGATCGAGTTCTTGGAGTCGGTGCAAAATTTGACGGATGAGGACATCGCCTTCTCTGACAGGGATTTGTGAGAGAGGATTGCAAGTGTGAGTGAGACGGAGGTCGCCACGGACAGAAGTTGAACGGAAGGTCCCAGAGTCCACAGTGTATCAGTTTTTATGCGCAGCAGTGGAGGGTGCAGAGATGCACTGTTGCAGTTGCTGCAGGACACCGAGGGTTTGCACGTCAAAGTCGCAGATCTGAACGTCAAAGTTGCGAACTTAGAAGGCCAGGTCTCTACCCTTGAAAATCAGCAGCGGCTTGGAAGCGATTGGCCTCGTTTTGGCCACGTCTTAGAGCAACAGAACAAATGTGCAAGCGAGCTCGCCGTGTTTATGGAATTTTTGAACCAGCGGCATGTGTAGCCTCCTTTTAACAACTATTTGGACATGTTTTTAACAACTTATGGTGTAGTACACGCTCTTCTAAACGCATGTGGTTTCCAGGTGCATCTTCACCAACATGGTAGTACTCTGCCTTGTACCTTGTCCTTGTGTAGTTGTAATGGAGACGTCAATTTTCCACAGCCCAAACCCAGGGCCGGGCTCCTGGAACAAATGGCCCAGATGCAGCGGGAGATGGAGTGCCTGGCGCTCTGGATTCCGCTGCGGAGGAACCGGTGCTTGCAGGCCAGTCTGTTTTTGAACGTTTGCTTGAAGGACGGGCAGGGTTTGTTTTCACACGGTGGCATGCGGGCCAAGGACAGCCTCCAAAAGATGGAGTCATTAGTACTAAGAGTTCCTATTGCTGTCGTCAGATACCATGCTAGTTCGAGGATCACTACTACAACCAATGGGCCATTACTAAACTGTCGAAGGCGGTGAGAAAGTCGGCAACGCCTGAATCTGCGGCAAGCAGGCCCGTCGGCAAACCATGGCAAACGTCGGATGTGGGGTAGGGGATGATTGACACGCTCCAGTGGGGTTGCTTGAAATTTTGGACCTTTTGGGAGTACTTAACCATACCACAACCGGGCCGTGATGTAGAACAACCCCCGATTGGCAACTGAAGGCTTGGGTTCACTTGCCCATGTCTTTCAGTGTGCTCGGATTGCTTGCGGTATCCCCGCCTACAGCTCCACGGAAAGGTGTGATGCAGAAGGTGCAACCTCCCTGGATGAAGGGGCCCAAAGCGTGGTATCTTAGTGGGACGATCCTGCTCGACACAGGTCGGAAGCTGTGAGCACTGAAAAGAAGGAGAAGGCAGGTATTCTTTTTTCTGTCAAAGAGCACGAGCGATGGCGACTATAGGTGCTTTGCTTACGGCAGGCTCAAACCGCTAGTCTTTTTTTTTGGTTAGCGCGCTGCACAGTTGTCCGATTGGCATATGCTCCGGGTTTGAAGGTCAGTTCTCCTGCGCTTGTCCAAGATGCGGCGCAAGAATCCATGAAGCGGCGCGAGCGTCGAGGGGAAGCGAGAGCCTTGCTACTGAGCTGCACTCGCAACGCTTTCATGTCTTGTTGAGGGTGCCGGAAGCACGGGAGCACGGCGGAATGAGAAGGCTTGTCCCTCCACAGTTGGTTGCAAAACCGAGAAAGAGAAACAGAGGGATGAGCTGAGGGGGGTGTTCTCCACTGCACCAAAAGTAAACTCTCATATTGCTCTCAGCATGGCTGAGTTCAGTGGTGTCACACACTCGTGGGCGCAAGTCGAGTCAAACCCATTCCAACGTGGCTGAGAAGCTGGGGGCTTGATATAGAAATACAAGGCTTAACCAACAACTGAAACCAGCGAGAGCAAGAGCGAGCGAACAACCGACTGTAGATTCGGCCGAGTTTTTGATACTTTGGTCTGCGCATTCTGTCCACTTTGCCCTCTCTCGCTGCCCCCTTTGAGCCCATTTAATTTACAATAGCCGTAGTGCTTGTAGAAAGTTGTAGGCTTAGCTGTACTGTCACGGGCATCATGCAAGATGAGACCTTTGCGAGAAGACAGTACAAGACCATGCTGAGGCTGAACAAGCGCATGGCGCAGAAAGGCGTCAGACGAGTGTGGCACCTCGTTCCTGGTTCCGGCCAAAGGAAACGGCATCGGTTGGCTTCGGGAACTACTGTCGATTACAATGACAAGAAAGCCAAAAGGCTGCTACTAACTAAGGCTACGCTGACAACTACTATGATTGCTGCTGTCGGCTTAACTCGTTATCGTATTCACACTCTCTTTGTACGTGGGACGCGACGCCCTCACCGGCCTTCTGGATAAACTTGGAGACCTCATGGCACATTCTTATGCCAGTGCAGACAGCAAACAGTGGTATTAGTATTATTGCTGGTACCATTACCAGTACTCGTACTCGTACTTACACTACATCACTTACACTTTCGACTACCCTTTATCATCGTATGAACTGTTACCTTCCACGCCGGATTCAAGCACAACATCTTTTCTAACAGACACCCAAGGCACCGTGCAACTGACAGGGAGGTGGCATTGGTGAACGCCCGGGCCACGTCCGGTTGCACCACGAAGCTGCCTTCAATTTCAATTGACATCGACAGTGGACTTAACATCTTCTTCGGCTCCACAAACTGCTGGAGCCTCAGCCTCAATCTCGGGAGCGTGAAGAAGGGGTGGCCTACTCTGATTGAGCGGGTCTTTTGGATTGGCGAGTACTGCAATGGAAAAGGAACGTTCGGGTGCATCACTGACTATGTTACCGAGCGCATGCCCATTATCAAGGACATGAATTGTGATGACGGTGAGAACATTTTCCAATGTCTCGCGGACCTGATTCAAAGCAAACTCCCAATCATCCAAGACTGTGTTGGCGAGAGCGACGTGTTCCAGTGCCTTTCAGACCAAGTCAAGTCTAAGCTCCCTATCATCAAAGATTGTGGGGACGACAACCCATTTCTGTGCATCGCGGACCAGGTGAAAGGCAGCCTGCCAATCGTCAAGGATTGCGCTGACGATCAGAATGTCTTCCAGTGTGTTGCAGACAATGTGAAGAGCAATCTTCCCATCATCCAGGACTGCCTGGACCCAGGGGAGAACGTCTTCTTGTGCGTGGGAAACAAGATTCTGAGTGATGTCCCTATCTTCGAAATCATGGGGACGTTCATCGGTGGAATCAAGGACTGCGTCGACGAGAAGACAGGCGGAAGTGTCGCAGAGCTTGCTGCCAACGGGGGCATTTACACCATCACCTGCTTGAGCAATCAGTTGGCATTGCACGTGCCTTTCCTGAGCTCTACTGCTGCTGTGATGGAGGGGGTTTCTGATTGTGTCGCCAACAATAACAACCTCTTGATCACCGTAGCTGGCGGGGGCAGCGCCGTGACCTTCGGCTGTCTCGTGGCTGAGATTGTGCAAGCAGTGCCCTTCCTGAATAAGACCTGGGAGATGATCAACCCATGTGAGGCCAACGAGAACATCTTCCAGTGCTTTGGAGTCTTGGGGTGCATGGGCAATCTGAGTTTTCTTCCTTTTCTGATTGCTGGAGCACGAAAGGGAGCTTAAGCTTTGTTGAAGTGCCCCTAAGCCCCGGGCCCCACACCCTAAACCTTTGACAAAGACCCAGGGGAGATGCTGCCAGTTGTCGGGCCCCTGGTCGCGAATTGCAACATCACGAGCTTTCCCGACGTCTTCTCATGCATCGGGCAGTCGCTTTCGCAGATCCCACCTTTCAACCTTGTTCAAAACGCCATGAGCATGGCCAAAGACTTCATCCCGTTTGTCCTCCGACAATCGTTGCAGATATTCATTGACTTGACCAAGACCGTAAATGGCTTCGGGGCGTCCGTGCTGCAGCAATCTAGCAGGGAATCGCCACATGTTGCCCATGATGACGGCCACGCAAAGATGGCCGTCTTCCTGCAGAACGCGCCGCCAGGCGCGCCGGCAGCCGCGCGTGGGTCTAAAGGTCGCCGACACTCCTTGCTGCAGGAGAGCTTGCGGGTTCCTCTTTTCAAGACATGTTACGTTGGCATAGATGTTTGCACCGGGGTCAATCCCAGCTTCGCTGTTTGCCTTCGGTAGCATGTCTTTGCGCCACACAAGTGAACACAAATTCCATTGTCAGTTTCTCTGACCCTTCTCACAGCAAAGAGATGCAAGAAGCTTGTTGGCAGAAGCCCCTGTGAGTACATCAGGAGCGGCAGAAAGCCCCGGTCGAGCTCGTGCCTCAGAAGGACGTAGACCGCAGCGAGCAAATTGTGGACACCACTTGGGAGTTTGATTATAGTCGACTCGGAGATCTGCAGCGCACTCAGCTTTTTACGCAGTTTGCGGGTGAGGAAGAGAACACCCAATCCTGCTTGGGCTACGCCCCGTTCAGTGCCGACCCATCAGATGTGAAGACAACTGATTGGCAGGCAGCGGGAAGCTCCGGCACGGATGCGTTCATTAAGCTGCAAGCGTATGCCATGCCGTGCGGTATGGACTTCTACAAAAACGACAACAGCTCATGGAAAGGCTATGCCACGTACACCAGGCCGTTCTCCACAGAGAGATGCATTGCCTATTCGTGGACATTCAATGCGATGGCCGTGAACTTGAACGTGCCCGTTCTCGACGAGTTTGTCTTCTCCTTGCCGAAGCCAAACCTGAAGTTCGAGGTTATCTTCTGCTTTCCAAACTATGGCTTTCTGGCATGGTATGGTGCTGAGCTTTCGCAGTGGGAGCTGTCCATCACCATCTTCAGCACGGAGGTGCTTCGCGTCAAGTATCGCTTCTTCTCCTACGGCGCGGGAATCGACCAGCGGACGCAGGTCACCACTGCTAAAGGAATGGGGGCCAGCAAGGACATCATGTTTGGCAACTTACGGAGCCTGCTTCAAGAGAACAACACTGTGAACAGCAGCCAAAGCAAGCGAGGCAAAAGCAAGCGCCAGGGACACTGGCATCGGAACCTCACGATGCGGACCCTGCGCATGGAGGCAGGTCGCTGTAGGACACCCTTCCGTTGTCTTGTTGCTTCAAAGCCAAGCCCGGAAGCAGCAGCTTCTTTCCGTCCCCAACATTCTGGATCCAAGCTCTCCCGCTTGCGTCTCCTGCAGGGCACGCGCCCGGTGGTCGACGAGGTCCTCCATGGCTCGCGCGCCCAGCGGAAGCTGAGAGGTCGCAGCTTCCACGATCGGTTCCGCCGGATGTCGCTTTCACAGGCAGAGGCTCTTTTTGAGGGTTGCCTCCAGAGAAAGAGTGTACAGCATTATGCGGACCCCCCTCCAAAGAGAGACCAAGTCTGAAGCCTGAGGTGAGCGCGTCGGAGGTTTTGCAACTCGTGAGTTTCCACACGGACGGAATCTTGCCAGGCCAGGGTGGGTAGGGATTGGTCCACTGCCACGGGGTGGTGGGGACGAAATCCATGTCATGTTGCACTGGCAGCGTGCCCTGAGCGTCTTGTGCAGACTCTGTTAGCGACCTCCTCGGTGTTGGCATGGGCCTGACATTGGACAAGGGGGTGATCAGCCTCGGCATGGATTTTCGGCTTATGGGATTTGAGGAGGAGGCGCCCTTCGACGGAACAGGTCCATGCGGTGACTGCTTGCATCACCTGTGTCGAGGGCCGGGGTAGGCGGGTGGATGTACATTTCTGGCAGGTGGAGACGTCTCTCCTCAATTTCTCAGAGATCGTTCAGACGATCCTCGAGGGGGTCCTTCCAGACGACGCAGAGACTGATGTGCAGGAGAGCTGTGAGCCCTCATGTCGGCGCTTCTTCCACGTGCTGGGGTTTTCAAGTCAGCATCTTGCCACGTCATCGTAAACATAGAGAAGCTGTAGGAACAAATGGAGTGTTCTTACCTTGCTGTCAAAGCATTTGGCTACGAGAATGGAATCTGCACTGCGCAGCGTTGCTGGGCCCGCGTAGGTAGTTGGGCTTCAGCGGACTTCAACCGTGTGCTTCAAAGTACTTTCAGCACAGTGTGCACCTGTTTGCAAGCGATTCAGCCCAAAGCCTAAACCCTAAATCGAATCAACAGTGTGGATGGTCTGCTTGGCGGGGAGGCGGCAACAAAACGAGACGCCAGCCAGCACTTCTGAATGTCCACCTGTGCAGGGAGTTGTTTCGGAGCTCAATGATGCCTTCTCCTCGGGCGAGGATTTGCTGGAACCAGAGGTGCCTTGCATGTATTCTATGGCTAACCCTAAGCACTCGACCCAAACCTGCTCTAAGCCTTAAACTCTAAGCCTGACATTCTTCTTTTGCGTGGTTCGATACTCGATGCCGCTTTTTTAAAACATTCCTTGCTCGGCAGCTGAGGCCTACGAGTTGCGATCGATTGAAGCCACCAACGATGTGTCGACGCTTCTCTGGTTCCGGGAAGCCGGCATTCAGCCTGCTGCGAACTCCTCGGTGTCTGCTTGGAGTTCGAGTGTCGGAGAGTCCATCCAGGTGCAACCGATCACCGACTCCCCTGTCACTTCCACTGATCCGATCAGCTGCCTCCAGACAGTCCGTTTCGGACTTGCAGGCTTCGTGCGAGCTGCTGCTGTTGTCTCGGTCATGGTCTCTAACCGAGTAGACTGCTTGGAGTCTAGGAGCAGCACCTAAGACCCAGCGCAGTCGCATCATGTGGTCAGGTCTAACCCAGATGACCACAGCCTTCGAGGCGTACAGCTCTGGAGCTGGCTTGGAGATTTGGTTCGTTGCCGCAATGATTGGGGAGGATCAGCCCAGCTCCCCTCAGTTCATCCTCGACTTCGGGGAATATGCGCCCGCGGGCTACGGAGTTTTCTTCCAGGATGCGACGGTGCGAGCGTACGCCGCAGGCAGGGCCTGGCATTGCACACCTAAAATGGGACCATGAAATGCTTACTTTCCACTAATATTCCCCGAGTAGCAATCACGTATACTAATGGGCAAATAAGTCAGGACCCGTCGCAGGGTCGCCAGATAATGCCAAGTCATGCAACCTTTGTGACAATGGTCCGCGGTGAAGCGCTGCAAAAGCAATAGAAGAATTCAGAGAAGCTTTGTCGTTCAGGAACGTCGCTGAGTTCGGGAAGCACCGCGCCGGACAAGCTGTTGCACTTGTATCGCGTGTGCCTAGCCACATCTCAGAACGTTGCGTGCAGTACAAATCGGCACAGAATCCGCTTGTTGCCTTGATGTTTCCAACAAAGGCAGTTCGCGCTGCAGAGCCACATTGCTATTTACCGGGATGGGGTGAAGCTCGCGGAGACACCTTTGTCGGCAAGTCAGCTCAACGCAGACACCATCAGGGACTGGACGTGACCACACATGCCATTCACGATACTAGAGCGCACTCTGCGTAGAATAGCCTCCCATGCTTTTCCGAGAGCCTTTCTTCCGAAGTCCTAAAACCTCGGAGAGGGAGTAGCTGATCCGAAAGCTCGGAAAAGACCAGTCATGCCTCGTTTCATATCCTACCCTCAGGCAACCCTAGGCACCAAACATGAGAATACCTCACCATCCTTGACTCCAAACCCGCTTCGCTGGTGCACAAGAAGGCCCTGAACGGAATGGTGGCCCTGGACCCGAATCTCTGAACTCCAAGAAACACGGGGGGTGCAGCTGATGTGAGAACGTCACTCGGTGTGCTGTGTGGCATGTCGCGCAGGAGATCTTTCCTTTCACCTTGGGTGGCCAGTCCAAAACCTACAACCGAGAGAAGAGATACTTCCGCGGGCAGATTGGCGAGTTGATCCTGCTGCTCAGCCGCAAGGGGAACGCAGGCGTGCTTTCAGCTTCACTCCATACCAGCGAAGCTCAGGCTCGATGGGGTCCTTGATGACTCGGCAGCCGAGTCTTTGAAAGGATCTTTAGACGAAAAGTGGCTGTTCAACAACAACATTTGTGGGCAAATTGCCCCAGTGATGTGGCTCAAGGCAGACGAGCAGGCCGTTGGAGAGCTGCCTATATGGTCGGACAGCTACGACAATAGGCTCATGCCATATTCCACGTCGCTGCTTCAACAGGAGGCCGTTAAGGCAGCTGCCGTTCCGTCCCCAAGCCCTTCTCCAGCTCCAGCTTTGCCCGAAGGGCCTACTGTAGCAGTTGTGGACAGCCCCACCTCCATCCGCGTGGCCAAGTTTGGGACAGACACCTTGACGCCGCTTGTGTTGGAGGCTGAGTTGTCAGTTGTCGGCTAGGGCTTCACAGCTGTGTTTCTATTTTTGCTTTTCAGCGACCTGTGTTTTTTGAAGAGCCAAGTCTTCATTGCCGTTTACACTTTTTTGGAAGCTTCATTGCGTTGCTTTCGTCGCGGTAGAGTTGTTGCACTGTTTTGTGGTTTGCCTGTTCTTGTTGTCGTTGGTGGTGTTGGTGCTGATGACGGCGTTGGTGTCGTCGTCGGTACGTATAATCGTAGGCGAAGGCACGTCATAGTCGGGGAGAAGCCATGATTTGGGGGTTCTCCTGCGGTCTGACTGCAGGAGGTCAGAAAACACACATTCCCGACACTTTTCTCCCATCTACACCCGTCGTTCCACTTGGTGGCTACAGCACACAGTAATGCGGCGTCCGAGTGAAGTTTGTCTTGCCGAGCCAGGTAACTGTATGTACTTTTGTCCGTTAGCACGGACTGTTTCCTGTACTTGTTTATGTTTCTGCATCGGGTATGTGGCAGTGTGGGTTTGCTACCATCGATGAGAGGATTATGGCGCTTGCTGTTGCAATGTTTGTCAGCTTGTTGAGGTACTCGGTTGATGGTGCAGTCTATCCAGCCCAGCTATTGAACAGGGCAGCCCTGGAAGCCTGGATTGTGATGAGTATAGATGATGCAGCTCCAATGCCGCAAGTCATCACATCTCTCGGATCTGTGGCCGGTGGTGTTGCGATTTCTCTTGACACCTTTGAAGGCAAACCCAGCCTCTCAGCATCAGCGGTTGGGAATGTGGCGCACCTTGAGTACAATGGCTTGAGTGGCTTGACACTCATCCGAGTGTGCTGGAAATGGGGTGACAAACTTACAGTCCAGGCGTCTGGCGCAACAGCGATGGTGAGCTTGGCAACCGTCCCCAATTTCACCACGGCCAGTGCGGATGAAGAGAAGGGCTTTGTGGTAGGCAGGTCCCCAGAAGCCTGAACATGTGCCATTGACTAAACGCAGGGCTCCGCAATCTTCAGGGGGGTCTTTTCAGGGTGTGCCGTGCCGTGTTCAGGTGGCCAAGCTGGTGACACAGCAGCGAGCTACTTCACGGGGAGCCTCGGCGAGCTGATTTTCTTTGACCAGCTCCTCCCGGATGCGGAGGCCCAGAGCTTCGACGACTACATGTCGAAGAAATGGAACGTTGCCAGCGTTTTCTCCCAGTAACTATCTGGGTGCAGGGAGAACATTTAGGTGGCCCGGTTTTGTCACTGGCATCACCATGGCACAAGAAATTTCCACCGGGCCGCAGGTCTAGGAGAGCGGTTTTCATGAGATTCAACACACGGTCCTCAGTTTTAAGGAAGGGCCGTGGGCCTGCAGGGGCACTGTTTTCAGTGGGAGTACTGCAGATGCCTTCCGGGAATCTCCAAGGAAAGCAAAGAACGGGTTTAGGATGGTTGAGGTCGACTCCTGGTGGCCCCCGGTCCTTGAGAGTCCTGCGCGCCGCACAGCCATCACGGCGTGTGCGAGCGTCGCGGTTTAATCTGTCCCTGGTCCGCCTGGGAAAGCTCCTCAGGCCGTCACCATCCACCATGTCCAGGGTTTTTAAAAGGGATGCCGCGGGCCGCTGTGCTACTTGGTTCTGGGTTATGGGGGGGGCAGGGCAGGACCTGAGGAGGGTTGAGGGTGTAGACAAAGGTACAACGTGTGCAGGGAAGTTGGCTGACGGCGGACAGTTGCAGGCGAGCATGTGGCAGTAGCTGATCGGTTTATCCTTCGATGCCAGTCCTACATCCTCGTGAGATGCTCCGAAGAGTACCCCACAATCCAGGCACGGCAGATTTTGGTGGCTCAAGGAGTGTGAGGGGTATGCAAGTTTCGTGAGAATGGGGTCGTGCGCAAGTCGTCCGACGAATGGGGCCCCCGGGCCTCGGCCGGTTGGCGACCTCGACAGCGACTCTTGCCATCCCATGTACGCCCCGATGTGGGTGATACGCGTCCAAGACGTGCTCAAGATGACTGGCAGGTTTCCTCCGCACCAGGAGTTGAAGCAGCAGGGTCTTCTGCGGGTGCGTGAGCGCATGAACCCATGGTCTTGGGCAATCTTTGTGTCACACCAGTGGCTAGGCCGGAACCACCCAGACCCGAATGGAGAACAGCTGAAAGTTCTGCAAGACGTTCTGCGGAACCTGATCTCCAGGAAGACCCAGGTCGAACACAACACGACAGCACAATTCTACCTCAAAGGTCGCAGCTTGACAAAAGCGGAGTGCAGTGACCTCCAGAATGCTTTCGTTTGGTTGGACTACTGCTGTGTACCTCAGATGATTCACTCTGCTGTTGCTTCGCGTGAGGAGCAGCTTCAACATATATTTTCCATCCCCTACTATGTCGATGCCTGCCAGGTTTTCGTGGCGTTGGTGCCAAGGTGTTATCATGAGACCGGGGAGCCTTGCGGAGAAGCCACCTGGATTCAGCGCGGGTGGTGCAGGAGCAGCTGCCTCTAAGCCAATCCTGACTAATTATTTTCGTACTTGGACTTCAAGGCTATTTCCTGACGGTTCGTTTGTTTCAAAAAAATCCAAAAACCAGCTAGCTGTGATGTCAGAGTTTATATGCACAAAGTAGAGCTCAGGTTACGTAAGCGCTCAAAAGGATCAGGTTTTGCGGGTTTAGGGCTGAGGTTTCCACTCAGCGCTACTTCTAAATTGAACTCCCAGGTTGAGAATTGGGTTCTGGGGTCTGAAGGGTTTGAGGGTTTAACGGGTTTAAGGGGTTTATATAAGGGTTTAGGATATAGGGTTTAGGGTTTAGGGTTTAGGATTATGGTTCAGCACTCCGGATCGAGCAGTTTGATGGTAAAGCTTTGTTTTCGGCTCGGATATAACACCCACCCACTCAGAGCATCTCATAACATTGAGAAAGCAAAGAACGGCCAAATTCTGAAAATAAAGCGGCCAATTATTGAAAAAAGTGGCCAAATTCTGAAAATAAAGCGGCCAAATTCTGAAAATGAAGCGGTCAAATTGAGAAAGCAAAAACGGCCAAATTCTGAAAACAAAGCGGCCAAATTCTGAAAACGAGGCGGCCAAATTCTGAAATTCAGTTAAGGTTTTAAAATATATATGGGTAGAGAGCGTTTAGGGCCGTTTAGGGTTCTCCCGGAACACGTTCATGCCATTCTACGTGCTTGCGCAACTCCAGGCTCTAACAAGCCAAGTGGACTTGAAAACAGGCGCGGGAAGATTTTGGAGCTGTCTCACGATCTCAGCACGTGTGTCACAAGACACCTGCAAAGGCATGAGTCACTTCTCCTCTGGCCTTGCCACATGGTTCGCACCGTCCTTTGTGTCCATCAGCTGCTAGCTGTAAAGAACAGCGATTGTGCGAATGGTAAACCGCTTGTTTGGAGTGGTGCGTAGTAGTTCTCCTGGAAAAATCAAGCAACAACTTGTTCTGTGCACACCCCAAACAGCCCAAGAGCACCTAGCCAACCCAGTCTTCTGTCAGAACCGTTCCAGGAGCACACCCGCAGCTCTCAAGACTCCTCCATAATCTGTGGCGAAAACACGAGTGGCACCCCAAAATACGCCGGAAACATGAGTCGCACCCGACGATGCGCACGGCACCATGCCGGAAGCACGATCTCGAGAGGCGGAAATGCACAGGACGGTGGCGGGGAGATGAGTCGCACACGGTGTCGGGAGCGCGGGTTGATTTTCGAAAGATTCCTCAAGACACAATGAGAATGGCAGGGTTTTCGGCCGAGCGGGAGACTTTGTAGCGAGAGCGTGGGTCGCCAGATGAGACCGCCAAAGCATTAGATTTTCTTAACAGAAGTCGCTGCCCGAGCAGGCACGGCCAGTCAGGGACAGCGATAAGGACTGCGGAGAGACACCGATTTAGTTGAAAATGTGCACCGCTCGACAGTGGGAGCTGCGGCCGCTGTGCATGCCTGCTGCACGCGTGCGCCCTCGTTTCGGCACGGACCTAATTCCTCGACTGTGTAAGAACTCCAATCGTGCTACCACACTGATTGCGAAGTCAAAGCGAGCCAATACCCTGCTGCAAACCAAGCCCGCAGGACCGAAATGTGGTGCAAGCTTCTATCTGAAGCCTCGGATATTCCCATCGTTCTGGTCACTTCAGGCGATTCTGCCGAGTTTGCGACGCCCAGGTGGACACTGAACACAATCCACTCCGGTCAATTTGCTGTGGAAGAAGACCGCCATGCATGTGGCCGGGTGGTGCAGACGGCATTGCAGCACAAGATGTCTCTGTTGAGGCGCCGAGGCGACATGGATCGCTTCAGGCTGTTCCTGGCACTCTTTGAGGACCTCCTGGGCCTCCCCGCCCGGCAGCGGAGCTTGCAGGAGTTCTTGTTTGACTTTGCTTTTGAAAGCCTGGACAAATGCCGAGGCAAAACTGGTGTAGGCCCAGTAGCTTGTGCCGCTCTGGGTGGGGATTGCGGGATGATTCGAACTCTGGCTTCGGCGAGGGCGTCCCTGCACACCCGGACGCGTGCTGACGAAGTGATGGGCGTTATGCCTGAATCCACGCCTTTGCACTTGGCTTGCCAATTTCGCTCAGGGAATCTGGAGCCCATCATGACTCTCTTGCAACTGAGGGCTGACGTGCATGCTGCACGAGGTGGGACACCTGCACCGTTGAATTTCTGCCAAGGGGCAGGTTCTATTGAGCTCCTTGTGCAACATGGGGCTTCTGTGAACGCCGCTACATCCAAGTTGAAGTGGCCGCCTATCCACACCGCGTGCCAAATGGGGGCCCCGCCCGAGGCTTTGGCAAAGCTGTTGGAGCTCCGAGCGGACGTGCACGGAAACCCTGGGGGCTCTCCGCCGATTGCATTCCTCGCATTTTGGGGCAACTCCAACCCAAACTTGATCGAGTCCGCCCAGGTGATGCTCGACCATAAGGCGGACGTCAATTCTGTCTTCGAACCCGAAGGCATCTGGCGCTCGATCGAGCTGGCTTGCCGGGCCTACAGCTGTTGTAGCAGAAGACCTCCAGGGATTGTTCACATGTTCAGCAACTTTAGCACCAACTCCCTGGGTCTCAGCGCAATGTACGGCTGTGAGGACTTGACCGTATTCCTTTTGAAAGCACGGGCAGACACCGAGATCCGAAATCACCGGGGCCTGCGACCAGTTGACATCGCAAAGACCCGCACGGTGAAGCAACTGATTGCTGATTCCTTGCTTCTTGAGCAGATGCTTTTTGTTTTGTTTGTGGTGGGATGTGGTGGGAGTTCGCTCCTTGTTCTCGGTTTTTGCCTACAAAGGATCCTCCCCAGCACTACCAGTACCTTTCTGACACGGTTCGTGATGAAAGCATGTGATGATATGATCTGGCCGCATGTGCATTCATTGCCCCGTAAGATTCCGTTGTTGACTTCCATGTGTGCCATTCGAGGCAGGCCCCTTGGCCAGAGAGAGAAGTCGATTTTTAATTTCTTCCGCGACCGGCCTTGGAAGCGCTTGACAGCCCCCTAAACCCTAAACCCTAAACCCTAAACCCTAAACCCTAAACCCTAAACCCTAAACCCTAAACCCTAAACCCTAAACCCTAAACCCTAAACCCTTAACCCTAAGCCCTAAACCCTAAACCCTAAACCCTAAGCCCTAAACCCTAAGCCCTAAGCCCTAAACCCTAAACCCTAAACCCTAAAAAGTCTTGCAGAGCTCCGCCTCGGTCAGCGCGCACTTCTGAAGTGTTTGAAAGCGTGAGAGGGTGCGCTCGTGGTGCTCCTCACTCTGTGTGTGTGTGGTTCGAAACAACCTCAAGGGTGCTTTGTGCCGCCCTCAGAAGCAGCGGAAGGCCAGATGTTGTGCGGCAGATGTGCCAGCCTTGTACATGTACGGCTCTCCGATCTCAAGGCAGCATGTCAAAACTGAGTATCGAAGGAATGTTTCAGCATGGGGGGTTTCCGAGCTAGTGTTCACTTGGCTTTTCTTGCGGGTGAGGGGGGTGCTGCGATGAATCCACGCCTTGTGTTCTAAAGGATTTTACGGGAAACTCAGGTGCGTACGTTTGAGGACTGTCAGGAATTCTGACAAGAGATGTGAGCCCGTCGTGAGCAGCTTCATGTTCGGCAAGCCTCCCCGAAAGATGTTGCCCTGAAGTCCGTTGTACCGCACAGATATACGTACTGTAACACTTCTGTCTATTCCCTGGCCATACCGCTACTCTTCGGGCTGATGCGGGCTTGAATTTGTCTTAAATCCCGCTTGCCTAATTCGAGCTTTGCTACCATTGGCACAAGATCGGAGTTTTTGGCTAGCATGTTTGCGTGTACATTTGTGTAAACAGACTACAGCATAGTTTCGTTCAGGCAGTCTGTGCAGCTTATGTGGTTTTGATTGTAGTATCTCCGCGTGTCGGCGCGATCAGGCTGTACGAATTGCTCCCCCTAATCTGAGACTTGGAGATCTCAGCTGTACATTGGCGCAGGGCTTCGACCCCGAAGAGACGTATAGGTCCTGCTGTGGTAGGTGTCAAATTCCCACTGCTCCAAGCTCACCCCATGCTTTCTTCTAGGGTGAAGCTGGAGGAGTATTTTGCATACGAGGAGCTTACTTGTGAGGACCTCCTTCAGGCTGGAAAAAGTGGGGACCACCTCGCATTATTTGCAGGCCCTTTCCTCTCCCGCCCCCATCTTTCAGCGAATGATGAACTCCAGAAGTCTTCTTATAATAGCCCTCAGCTCCAACTTCATCTTTCCGTTTGACTGACTATGGGAGGTTCGTTGAATTGCGGTCCTTTTTGGAGCCTTAAGGGGCCCATGCTTACATGCTGGTGGTCCTGTCCAAGCAGTGGAGTCTCCGTTGCTTTCCCACCAATGACCCTGAGATCGCCGTAAGGCTGCAAAAGGAGCAAAACGAGACAAGGAACAAGGAGGCTTAAAAGTGGCCTGGAGGAGAAGAAGAGAAATTATGACCATATCGACTCGTTTGCTGTTGAGAATTGCTCGGTTCAGGCCCCAAGCATTCCAGGAGCAGCTCCTCTAGGACCATTCGTGAGGCCAGGAACGACGACACGAGTGAATGCCAACTACATTCACAAGTCACAATCTTCGCGAATGTCCAGGTTCACAGCTTCAGAAGTGATGACCGTCCCGAGGATGGCGGCTTCGATGTTCCCCCTCGTGACTGCCACAAGGCTGGTGGCTCCAACGTTCACCATCCTTGTGGCATTCATCGTTCCTGGTATCTCGGACTGGCACCATCCTCACAGCCAACCCTACGACCAGTTGGACCTTTCTGTTGTGATCACTCGTCACACGATCACATGAGCTTGAATGTTCAAAGTTTTGTGCTGCAGCCGGAAGGAATGTACATTGACGAAACAGGAAAATGCAGCCACTGCTTTTAAACTATGACGATTTGAGAGTATATTTTCGGCCCTTTGAGATGCGCATGGCAGTCAGTATGGTGCAATAGCCTTTTCGTTGGTCAGCAATATATGACCACGGCCATACCTCAAGCCCGAAAGTAGGGGGCCAGTATCACCTGTATGTCTCCTCTACAATGCTAGTTGATTGATGTGCGTGATCGTGGACGGCTCCCAGCAAGGTTGTTGACGGTGTACATGGGCACCCGTACTGGGCATCTTGCAAAGCGCCAGAACCAGGCGTGTTAACTTCGGAGAGCGTTGTCGTGTTTAGGAGCTTCGAGGAGTTCTTTTGGTAGTCTTTGGACCAGTCACCATGAAGCTGCTTCAAACCGCGTAGCATGTCCAGCTCAGTTGCTGTGTCCTGGCTTTTCTGCGTGAATGGCCCTTGCATTATGCCGACTTCAAATCCGTCAGCAGCGGCTGTACCAGTGTCGACTCGCTCAGCTGTGTCGCATCTCGACGTTCGATCTCCGGAAAAAGAGGCAGTCAAGCGAAAAGCTGGGATTGTTCAACCGCATGCTGGGAGTTTGCTCGGCCGCGGGAGATTTCTACGGTGCTGAGCGCATCTTGCAGCGCGTTGTCAAAACCTCCCTGGAACCGGACTTGTTAACCTTTGCTTTAGTCGTGGCAGCGAGTGCAGAGGCACGAGACGTTGTTCGGGCTGAGCTGTGGTTGAGGCGGCTTTCTTTGAGCATCTACGCCGATGCCGCAGGCCATCCAGAGGTTATAAGCAGCCTCATGGACGCCGGCGCTACTGAGCTTGCGCGTGTGGCTGGGCAGCATGGGCAGCAGGGGCAGCATGCGCCACAGTCAGGTACTGCAGACAGCACGAACAATGGGAACAGCACAGGGGAACAAACGACGGACACTCGCTTCTCATCACTTCTACACACCCTTCGAAAGCAGTGGCATCTCAACGACGACGACATGGCGGGATTTTGGAGACTTTGGGAAGAAGTCTTGCAAGAGCACCGGTTGCATGGGCTGGTCCCGTCTAGAGGGACGCTTCATGCAATGCTGCAGGTGTTGGCGAGATGCAATCGGCAAGAGGAGATTCGAGTCGTTTTAAAGGATATGGCATCCTTTGGTGTTCACGCAAACTCAATGACCTTTGGCGTGCTGATCGATGGGGCGTCCCAGCGCAAGGACGTGAGGCAGGCCGAGGCTTTTTTCCAGCAGGCGCGCCAGCACCTCCTGGAGCCGACGCTGCCGATGCTAAACAGTTTATTGAAGGGATGTGCGGCGGCAGCAGACTTGGCAAGTGCCCAGAAGTGGTTTGAGCGAATCTACTCCGAAGGCTTAGCTCCAAACACTTTGTCCTTCAACAGCCTGCTTGGTGCGTGCGGAACTGCCGGGGATGATCGGCAAGCGGAATCCGTTTTGCAGGACATGGTGAAGGCAGAATTGCGTCCGGACGGTTACAGCTACTTGGCGATGATCAAAGCAAACGGGCACAGGAGTGCCAAGGAGGCAGAGCGTTGGCTCTCCACTGCCATCTCCGCGCGTGTCACTGTGGACACTGGAATGTTCAATGCGGTCATACGTGCTTATGTCGTGCATGCAGATCCTTGGGAAGTGAAGCGAGTGTACTCGGACATGCAGCGGAGAGATGTGACGGCCAATGCAGCCACCTTCCTGTCCGTAGCTCATGCCCACGCCATGGAAGGAGAGGTGTCCAAGACTGAGGATTTCATCTATGCCATTCGCGAGGCGGGGTATCGCCTTGGCCGCGACGAGTACTCTTGCTTGCTGAAGGCCTATTCATGGAAGCCCAACTACCGGAGCCACCGGGCGGAGCGCCTCTTCCGCGAGATGATCTCGGAGAACATCGCCCCCCATGGGCCAATGCTCCGATACCTGCGGCTGGCCATGGGGGAGGAGCCGGCACAGGCACTTATCCAGGAGTTGCAGGTGGTCGATCCAGAGGCGTCCTCCCAAGAAGCACCACCCGCACTATGAGAGGTCGAGGTGGGAAGTTTGGGGAGTTGGGCCGAGAGGCTACGATATCTTGTGCGACCTGGGCAGGAATGAAGAGGCACCGTGCCCCCAGGAGGCCCAGAAATTGCTGGCTGCAGCCGATGGACATGGTCGATCAAGGAACGATGCTGATGCTCAAATCGTGGCCCGGTGGGAGGTGCGCAGAATGAGACGGTTGCAAGGGGGGGAGTCTCGTCGCTTGACTTGTCAGTGCGCTTGCAGCAAGCCTCCGTTGCACAGCCTTCTGCAAAAATGCTGTCCCGATGTTGCCGATTCCGGGCTCTTTGGCGTTGTGTCTCCCCAGAACTGCACCCCTCAGCCTGTGCTGGCAAGCCGCCGCATTTTGTCTCAAGGGTCTTGGTTGGGGGTGAATAATATTTAGTCCTCGCAAGAGAAACTTGATTTCATCCGGCGCCAGATATCAGCGCAGGCCTCAGATGAAGTTGTCGAAGGTCCCTTGTGCCTTCCCATGATGCTAGCTCTAGGCAAGGAGCAGACACCCCAACCCCCCTAAGCCAAAATCCTTGAACCCCGACCCCCCTAAGCCAAAATCCTTGAAGGTTTTGCTCTGAGCACTCCGAGGTCCCCTGTCACGGACATGGCACCCATGGGCCAGGGCCCCGGGCCCCCATTCGAAGCGTGCCGGTCTCTGGGTTGTCTTAAGGCCTCTTAGATAGACGCGAGGAGTAAGCACTTGAAGCTTTCAACATGTTTCAAGATGTTTGAAATTTGTTGGTGTTCATGTTCATGCACCTGGAAAGAGCCATGCAAGTGGGCCCTAAAAAATGTAACGGTTTCCGTGTCCAGGCTCCCTTGATCAGGGGTCGCTCTAGGAATGCAATCTGTGGGAGCCGAGATTCATCAGAAGACTGGCAGGGTTTTACCCATGGAGTACAGGGAGTACAGTGAGGCGATGTTCGAACCGCCCCGGCGTGTGCTGGAGACGCCTTGGTCACCCTGAAGAGACATTGAACACCAACTCCGAAAGGTGTCCAGTCACCCTTGTGGCCACTCGCTGTCCAAAGCCCAACACCCCACTCCGCAAAAGGGGACGACACGCCGGGCCAGTGCCGCTGGGCTGCCCTCGCCGGCGCGGAGGCCGTTTCGGGTTCGGGTTTCTGGTTATGCAGGGTGTTTTCTGAGTATTGGCAGAGTAATTGTTGTTAGTATCCTTCTGATTGAAAAACTATGGTTTTTCCATCCTTATTAGTGTCATGATTCCTTATAACTTATAATTCTTGTAGTCCTGATAAGTCTGATTGCTTTCTTCTTGTTGCTTTCTTTTCTTATTCCCGAGGCTGTTCTGATTAGTCCTCTTATTCCTGGTGTTCTTGTTATGCTCTTCTCCGGTCCTATAAACGTTACATTAGATCTATCGATCTAGAAAAAATACATATCTATCTATCTATCTATCTATCTGCACACACACACACACACTCTCTCTCTCTCTTTTTCATTTGGGATGCGGGTGGGGGCGCTGCGTGGCAAACCCGAAATCCCAAAAGCCCTTGGCCTCAAACCCTTAACCCAGAACGTCCAATAACCCCTACAAGCCCTAAGAATCTTAAAGCACTTGAGTATTTTTAGAGGCCTTAAAACCAACTCCAAAATGAAAAATGCAAAGCCAAAACCTGCAAGAACCGCCAACAACCTCGAAGCCAATAAAGAAACAATGACTCAAGCCTAAACACCACCCAAAACCCTTGAAGCATCAATCCCTAAGCCACAACCACAAGCAAAACCATCTCCACCCTTAGGAGAGGATGCCGCCCTAAATCCTCGGCTCTGAAACTTGAAGCCCTGTGGCCATGAAGCTGCTCGAAATCCAAAGCCTTGAGTTCCGAAGCAACTGTGAGCCCGGCCCCGCAAACCCACAAAGCCCCGCACCTTAAGCCCTGAGGCCTCTAAGCCTCCGAGCCCCAATCTTAGAGCTCCGGGCACAGGCAGCGATAGCGCCGTCCAAACTTGTGGATCTTCCGCCGAAGGAACAGGTGGCCCCGGATAGATGTACATCTGATGTCTATTTGCTTGTTGTGTACGGGCTTCAGGGCTGAGTTGCTGTGGTTCCGGGTTGGGGACACGCCCTGGAGCACTGCACCCCTCGGCCCCAATCCCGAAGCCCGAATCGCCCAGCCCACAAAAGCCCGAAACCCTCAACGCTTTTGGATTCTCTGTTCCTTCGCCTCCTGTACCACCTTCAAGGGATTCAAGGGAAGCCCCCGAAATATGCAGGTCGCTCGAGGGAGGGAGCTGCTCTCGATGTTGGGCTGCGGCAGGGAGGCAGGGGTGCACTTGCTCTCGGGGGGGGGAAGGACCGTGCCCTTTGGTGGCACTCTCTTGCGGGTAGTAGCGGGTAGTAGGGGTTGGCACGTGATGTTCAAGGGACCCAGTTTAGGGCAAGTGCCGAAGGAGAAGGTCTTTTCGATTTTCGAGTTAGGAAAGATTCTACGACATATCATGCAGCCCGCCACCTTCAAAGAACCCTGTGCGAAAGCTGCTTCGAGGGTGCATGGCGTGCATGCCGCTCCGTAATCTGGTGAGAGCTGTCATCATGCTCCTTTTGCCTGAACATGTGTGGGTTTTTGGGGCTTAGTGTTTTTTGGGGTTGGGACGTCGGGTGTTGGTTTTTAAGGTTTCGGTTTTAGGGCTGTTTTAGGGCTGAGGAGGAATCGGGTGTTTTCTCTGCATGTCAGGGTTCCGAATTCTTGGGCTTTAGGTGCAGACTCGGGCAGGGGTTGCATGGTGGGGGCTGTGGCGTGTTCGTGGATGTGGCTCCGAAATCCTCGCCGCGTCGTCTGTCAGAAGTCCAGGAACAGTGTCTGAGGAACAGGTCCCACCCAAGTCCCTTTGAACCTAAACCCTGAACCCTGAACCCTGAACCCTGAACCCCAAGCCTCCCCAGACCTTGCAACCTTGGGCCCGAAAACGTCTGAAGTCCCTTCATGCCAGGACTCCGCGAAGTCCCCGGCCGCGCAGAAGAGCAGAGAGTCCGACAGGCCAGGGCCTCGACGGAACCTTGAGGCGACAGGCTCCTCAAAGTTTTCAGTGCACTTTGGGGTTGAAGGTTTCAAGGATTTTTTTTTGTGGGTTGGTTTCGGACTTAAAGTTTAGGGGCTTGGTCTTCAAAGGACCGGGAAGGCGTCACGTTAGCCTGCCTGCCCTCCGACCCGAAACGCCCGAAACGGTCTTGAGCCCCAAGCCCTTCGGAGAGAGCGCAGACGTGTTGGTGCAAGCCGAAACCCCATCTCGACTCCTCCAGCCTACCTTGAAGCTTGCACAGGGGGTGGGGTGGGGGGGGGGGTGGGGGGTGTATGGGGGGTTGGTTGAAGGTGCTGCATCTTCTCTCTTCGTCCCCACGCCCGAAGCCGACCCTTAGGATGGACTCCGGCGCCTCCATGGCGAGCTCCATGCACGAGCCTTTCGTTTTAGGGCTTTTTAGCAGGGTTGCCGGGTTCAGGGAATCAGCCCCAAAGGTCTGAAGAGATCTACAGAGGCTTAGGGTTATGCTGTTTGAGGGTTGATGCATGCGTCTTGGGGACAGGGTCGGTTGCGGACGGGGTCGGCCATCGGCGCTCCTTTGGTGGAGTCTGAGGGCTTCGGGCTTGGGGCCTGCGGCTTGTAGTATTCTTGCTTCCCCAATTTGGGTTTTTTTGCAGAGAACTGGCCAACTTGGCCCAGGTCAAGACATCTGGACAGCTTGGCGTCACAGTCGCAGGCTGGGCTTGGAGAGGAAGGGCCTTACGGGGCTGAGGCGTGCTTGTTGGCGTTGCGGTTGATGGTTGAGGGATAGGCCCGTTTTACAGGTGCGACAGATCTCGCCTGTCTCCGCAAAACTATTGATCCCAAAGGTGGGTTCGGGTGAAGTGTTCCATGTCCGTTTATAGGGTCTTGGCCACCTGAATCAGCTTTTCATCGCGCTAGATTGTCTTTCAATCGCCCTCAACCCAAGACCCTCAACCCTAAGGCCGAAACCCTCAGCTAGCTTGTCGAGGATGCCCATGTTTCGAGCTTTGCCCCGGCAGCGACCACTGTCGGAGTTCAGCAGGTGGGTTTGCGGATTCCGGTTGCCGGGGCTTTGGGGGCTTAGCTGTGGGGGTAAGCGAAGGATACTGTGCGGCGTTCTTCTTGCCTTCCATTTTTTGATAAGGCCTTTCAGGTTTGGGGTTTGAGGTTTCGGGCAACGTCAGGATTGGGGTGCCTTTCCGAGGCCTGGCCCTTCTACCGCCTTTCGTATCGGGTTGAGCTGTCAAGCAACCAAGCTTCTGTCTGCGCTGTTGTTGGGTGAAGCCTTCAATGTAGGTTGGGGCATGTACCAGCCCGAAGCTCGAATCCTCACGAAAGGATGAATCCTCAGAGCACCCCCGCAGAGCTTTTGCCGCTTTTGCCCTCGCAGGTCGTCAGCTATGACGGCAGCGAGTGGATGGTACAGGGAGGTTTTGGATCCAGGCGAGATACCTGTAAAAAGTATACGTGCCAACCTGATTGAAGATTTCTTGGGCGGGTTCAAGGTCTAGTGCTTCCAGAAGAGCTTGAACCTTCTACTCGGCATTGTGCCACAGAGTTACGGATTCAGGGTTTCGGGGCTGGACGTCTGTTTCTTGGGGGGCTTCAGGAACATTGCAAATACCAAAGGTTTTGTCGATCCAGAACGCCAGAGACCCTAAATCCTCAAAACCAAAGACCCCTCGTGCCGCAAAACCTGCGCCCGAAGTCCCCAAAAGCCCGAGAAACCTTGACTATAGCCTCCTTAGGAGTTTTTCTTATTTATTATTATTATTATTATCATCATTATTATTATTATTATTATTATTATTATTATTATTATTATTATTATTATTATTATTATTATTATTATTATTATTATTATTATTATTATTATTATTATTATTATTATTTATTATTTATTTTATTATTATTATTAATTATTATTATATTATTATTTTATTATTATTATTATTATTATTATTATTATTATTATTATTATTATTATTATTATTATTATTATTATTATATATGTATATATATATCTATTTTTTTTTATATAAATAGTTCTTTTAAAGGGAGTAATTAATTTTATATAAATAGTTCTTTTAAAGGGAGTAATTAATTATAGTCAAACCCTACGCCGCAACCATCAGAAGCCTGCAGAGGCCTGACGACACCACCGCGGCGCCGAACGCCCCACTCTGGGGCCGATGCCCCCAATGGATGAGGGATGGCTGAGGGTTTCGGGTTGAGGGCCTTCTTTGCACAAACTATGAGGGCCCCCCCCCCCCCCCCCTTTTTAAGGGGATCCTTATCAGGCGTGGGCCTGGAATGTGGGAATGTTGGGGCATGAGATGTTTTGCAAGCTACCACTGAGGGGCTTGCATTTTTAGGGGGGTTCCCCTAAGTCCCGAACGTCCTTGACCCCAACCCCTAAACCCTAACCCTAAGCCCTAAACCCTGAGTGGAAGCGGATGCAGCTGAGGCAGCTCTGCTGCAAGCGGCTCCGTCCACACCGCGTCTGCAGGCCCGCACGAAGCAGGTCTTGGCTTCAAGCCGAAACGCCACCCCAAAACCCCAAAACCCCGAGAGCCCTAAACCCTGGCCTCTTCCAGGAGGCCCAAAAGGCCCGCAATTCTGAACCTTGAAAGCCCTAAACCCCGAAAGCCCTCAACCCAAAAAGCCCTAAACCCTAAACCAGAACCCTAACCTAAACCCTGAACCCTGAACCCTGAACCTCAAACCCTAAACCCTGAAATCTAAACCTTAAACCCGACCCTAAACCCTGAACCCTACACCTTGAACCCTAAACCCTGAACCCTAAACCCGAAGCCCTAAACCCTGAACCCTAAGCCGCCTCTTACATCTTTCTCAAAGGCACTCCCTGGTCCGCCACCAACGCCATTCTGACGAACTGGTCTATGGGCGCTGGGAGCTTGGCGTTGGGGGGCTGCACCTCAACCAGGGTTTGGGGCTTAGGCTGTATTTGGGATACTGGGACCTTCATCCGGTTCACCATAGAGCCTGAGCGTTTGTTGGGGTTTTTGACCACTAGGCCTTTCAGGTCATGCCCAGACCCAGGTAGGGGTTTAAGAACATCGGGGAACCCTTTTAAAGATCCCAAACAGTAGGATCCCCTTTTAAGAAGGACCCCACGAAGGTACCCCTCATCTGGGAAACCCCCGGGTTACCAAAATTCCAGAGACCTCTAAGCCCATACCGAGATGCCATCGACAGCGGTGGCCGCCGCGACTGTGACGCCCATAGCTGTGGCTTGGTGCGGGGACTCCCGCAACCTTCAGATTTAGGGGTCGGGGATATTCAGGGGTTGCCGGAATTTGGAGCTTCTCCCTGTGGCAGGCACAGCTGGGACTTCGAAAACCTTTAGGGCCGGATCCAACTGTCGAAGAGCTCCCAGCTGTCGAATCGGAAGCCTCAAGAATTTAATCTACTGCTGGAAACCTGTAGCGTGCCCAGCAAACCCTAAAAACCCCCAAACCCTGAGCCCCCCAACCCCTAAACCCCCCAACCCCTAAACCCCCCAACCCCTAAACCCCCAAACCCCCAAAACCCTAAGACCCCTAAACCCCCAAATCCTTGGCACCCCTGAAGCCAAGGTGATGGGGGCCACGGGCCCGGCTGTGTGGCAGCCCCTGGATAGCGGGTCGGAGAGCCCAGCGCTCCTTGGAGCTCGCGGGATCTGGATCCCAAAATGCGCATAGGGTTTAGGGTTTAGGGTTTAGGGTTTAGGGTTTAGGGTTTAGGGTTTAGGGTTTAGGGTTTAGGGTTTAGGTTCGTCTTCGGGTATTTCCGCAAATACACAGCAATAGTTTTGTCTGAGCACCGCCCCCTGTAGCCCCTAAACCTCTGAACCTTCGGGGCATGCTACTGGCTTCGTCTCAGCAGGTGTCTTGTCGTCTCGGGAAAGCACGCCCTAATGAGGCTGCCGCGGCCTCTAAGCCCTCAGGCCGCAACCCTAGACCCTGGACCCTGCTTCCGATAGGAGAACCGTCCCCACCCTTTCCAAACACGCGTTAGTATGTTCCTGCGTAGTGCAACAGGGGCCCAAACTTCAGATGAGCCCCAGGCGATGGGAGGAGACTAAAGGAGAAAAGAACGAACTTCTGAACCCTTGAGAGCGCTCTTTTCCAGGTCCACAGGATCTTTGGCAGGCTGGACGGCAGGCGCATCAAGCTGTTCCTGGGGCTTACAGGGACGGGGTGGGATGTGGCTTGATGTTGTTTAGTGCATGCTTTGTGTTGACTGACCATGATTCTTAGGTGGGGTGGTGCTGGGCTGTTCCCCAATGCAGCTGCTTCAGGGAGGGCAGCCGGTCCTCCCCAGCTTTCCCCCCCGGCCAGGAGCTGCAATGACAATTCCGTGTGGGGCCTCGGCTCACCCGAAACCCCAAGACCCTAAGCTTAAATCCTTGCCCTCAGCCCCAAACCACTCGAACCCTGTCTGAGGGTTCAGGGCTTTCATTTCAGCCTAAGCCCTCAAAAGGGTGCGGATAGGTTCGGGGGGGGGGGGGGGACTGGCTGCCTTGGGGGGGCGCCGGGCTCTCCCCTTTTCTTGGGCTTACCGCTAGCCGAACTCCAAAAAATCGAAAAGGTTACCCTCTTTTCTCCGGGGTTTTCGGCGAGCCTGTCAAGGTGCGCGGTTTCTAGAAAGGCACAATCCGCCGAAGCTAGTGATTTTGAAGGGGGCTACAAGCAGTTGAGCCCAGGGTTTTGGGGCTGGGGCTCACGGCTGGTTTCTGCTGGGTGCTTCGAGGTGGTTTCAGGAGATTGAGGCCCGAGTCCTGAGTGTGAAGACTCTGGGGGCGGGGGGTGCTGGGGGGGGGGTTTAGGGTTTCGGGTTTCGGGGTCGACCGACCAAGGTCGGACATGCAATGCATGACCGCAGCTCCTGGCATGGGCATCGACCTGGCTGTGTACCTCGTCGGTGGAACCCTAAATTTTCCTGTTTTGGGGCTTCTCCCAAACTCCGCTCTCAGAATCCCAGCCCTCAGCGCCACCCCAAAAGGCCCCCCTAACCGTTACACCCTGAAGGAACTTGTGCCGTGGTAGGGTTGGGTTCGGGTTTCGAGGGCGCGCAGCTGCCCTCGCCATTTTTGGAGCCAGGCTCTTTTACCTCAAAGCATCTGGCCCAGAACATGGCGTCCTGGTGCTAAGGATCGCGTGTGTTGGGGGTCCAAGCCCCCAAACCCTCCGCCCCCTCTCAGCCCAAGCCCCAGCAGCGCCGGCGCCCTCGCAGGCCCGTTCCGATGCCCATGGTGATGGCCTCCAGCTCGGAGCTGGGCTCGCCGTGCCCCAAGTTGCGATGCGCTCGCAGGGTCTCATCGCAGGGTCTCTCTTGGGTTTGTTTGGGAGGGGTTCTGAATTCTGGGTTCTATTCTGGGTTCTGAGGGAAGCTTTGGGAGAGCCTTTAAAGGTTGAAGCACCAAAGTGGTTGCCGTTGTTTCTCTTCGCCCGGAGCCCTCGGAGCTGAGGTCCATGCTGAGCCGGAATCAAATGCGAGCCGAAGCGGCGCCGTGCGACCCTGAAACCCGGCCTTGGGTGGGGTTTGGGAATCTAGACCCGGCCTGTGTCTGCGTGGGGTGAGAGAGTTCAGGGTGTGGGGTGGGGAGGGCTACTGTAGGGTTCGCGGCTGCAGCAAACGCTTCAACTGCATGCACGACAACGCCGCGTCGGGCTTCGGAAGGAGATTTGCCTGCAGGTACGTTCCTGGTTCCATGCCACTCAGCGTCGGAGCGTAAGGACCCGATTGCTGCAGCAATGGCGCACCTCCAGCCTATCTTTGGCAAACTTAGGCCTGAATGCTCTTTGGCTTTGCTTTGTAGAAACCCAAGCTCGCACCCACTGCTGGGGATAGTCTTCATGTGTTTGTCGCTCCAGGACAGGTTCCCCTCGCCGGCACGCGCGGCTTGTCATGCAAATTTCTTTGTGCGAGAGCAGGGCCGGACGCCCAAAGAGGGGACCCCAAAGTGCCGAGACAGCTCTGCGCGGTTCAATTCAGGCAAGAGCTCCATGTGGAACACTGCGAACAATGCATCCTCCGAATCCCTCCAAGGGCCCCAACATGCGGGTTTAGGGCTGTGCCCGCGCGTGGCAAGTGCCCGCGATTTTTAGACCCAAATCGAGGGCCGGCCTTGAGGAGCGACCTCAACATTGCAACCCCAGAGTGCTGCCACACTCTCTGGCGGACAAGAGCGGTACGTTGCGGGAAGAATGGGCTTGCGAAAAAAAAGGCCCAAGCCTGCAGGCAGACCCTTTGATTGAAGGTCTAGGGGTTAGAGTAGGGCGAGGGCATGGAAGAATCAGCAACAAGCCGGAAACGTTGGGGGGGCATGCGAGGCCCCAGTCCAGAGGCTCGAAAACTGTTCCCCACTTGTGCTCGAAATATGCGTGAAAACCCATCAGAAAGAAGCCATGATGTGGCGAATGGCCCAGCTCCACAATGTTGTGCTGGGGGGCCCTTCCCCGAAACCCTACAGAGACCTCGAAGCCCAAAGCCACTAAGCCAGGTCAGGGACAAAACGATGGATGCTGAGTGCATGCCGCAATTCGGCTAGACTGCTGGCATGCAAGCTGCCAGCGAAGACGCTGCCTAGCAGCAGCGAGCCGGCTCCAAGAAGTTTAAATCCGCCCCGTCTAGGGTGTATATGTAAAAATGTATGTATATTTGTATCCATTATATACTTGAAAACGTTTGAGTATACTACTGTCCACTACACATGTACTGGTACAGGCTTTAAGGATCTTTAGGGATGAGATGTGGATGCTAGGTTTCTTATGGTGTAATTTCGGAGCGATCGCCGGCAATCATCAATCTCCCGCCAACGCTCTTGCCCCTGAGCTTGGAGGGCTCCCGGACGCCAGGCGCCTTGAACACAAACCACACAAACCCTAAACCCTAAACCCTAAACCCCAAACCCTAAACCCTACACAACCCCCCGAGCCCCAAGCCTCAACACTGCGTCTGCACGAGAGCCCTCCGATGCCGCGGCATTAACAGACCTGAGGAGGAAGGCGGGGCTGTTGGGACAACACCCTAAACCCTAAACCCTAAACCCTAAACCCTAAACCCTAAACCCCAAACCCCAAACCCCTAAACCTCAGACCCGGAAGCCTAAACCCTAAATTCTTGCAACCCTCATGGAGTCCTGAAGGAGCAAAGGCAACTGCCTGAGGAAACCGAAATTATGTGCCAAGGCGATCCCATTACATAATAATTTGCATATCAACTACTTGAAGCCCCAAACCTAAGCCCCGAACCCTAAACCCAGCCCCCCACAACGCCCGTCTCCCAGTGGCGCGGCCTTCCTCCTCGTGTGCAGGCACACGGAAGTGGAAGCCGCATGCACCAAAGCCCCAAAGCAGAAACCCGAAAACCGCTATAGGGGTTTAGGGTTTAGGGTGCCCTACCGCCCTAAACCTCAAAGTGTTTATCAACAGGCCCTGGGGTCTGATAGGCAGGGGCTGTTCTAACCCCTTGCGAGCACCTGTACTGCCAAATCCTCAACCCTAAACTTCAGATCCGATCCTCCAGGTTTTCGTCTTTAGCTTTTTTTGTTGGCTCAAAGGGCTGGTGGGTGTGTTGAGGTCGTTTATGGTTTCTTTGGGCGCAGGGTTTAGGGACCCGAACCCTCAGCCTTTGAAGAACTTCAGCGTTCCGTAGCCGTAGCTGTTCAGGGCGTGTCATACAAGTGGCCTTGTGGGCCATAGGCGCATCTAGGACTCTAGGCATGGTCGGCTGCGAGTTGGGTTCCAGGTTCCGAGCCTCCCGTTTCACGCAGAGTCGCTCCCGCAACAGACGTTCGAGTTCGGTACCCTGCATGCTTGTGGCCCCCCACAGGGGCTTGCTGGCATCTCGCCCATGATTCCAAGGGGAAAGCTCAGGCATTGATTTTTTGGTTCGATGGCCGAGGGTACCGAAATCCCAGTTTGAATGACCATCCAAAGCCAACTCCGGGGACGCAGCTGGAGGTGGCCCGCCAATCAGAGCAGTATCTGGAAAGGCGTGGCTGCGATCCGCGGCCGGGGATGCGGGTGCACAGGTGACTGCTACAAAGCTGGGGGATGCTCGCCCGTATACTAGCAGTCCTGAGTAGGGGATTCTACTACCCCCAACGATAATCCCCATCAAGGGCTGTTAGTCTAAGGGGGAAGATCCCAATACAAAAGCCTTAAAGCATGTTGTTTGTCAACGAGTAAGTCTGTGGGATGCTTGGGGTATATGCATCCCGTGTCCCCAGCCGGAGTACTCGGAACCGCACTCGACATCCATGTTGTTGTGTCCAGGAGATACCGCCTTCTCTTATCTACCCGTCTTGGTACATCGTTTGGGAAGCTATGTGAGAGCAGTGATGATTCCGCCTGAATCATCAGTCTCGTTCCCTGACACGGGTTCGGGAGGTCTGTTTAATAGTTTAAACCATAACGACGGTGCCTGCGTGGCACGGACAGTATGCGGTCTCGGCAGTTTGCTTTGGAGCTCAGTTGCAGGGAGAGTACTCAAAAGCATGCGCCCCTCGAAGCCCCAAAGAGTACCCCGTGCCACCCCCCTCCCCCCAACCCTCAACCATGTGGCTTACCTGTCCCAACCAGCAACGTGTGGATCCTAAGCTCCCTCATCTGCCGTCTAATTCATATTCCCAAGCCGCCCAAACATGCCTCCCCTCCCGCTGGCCCACTTCCAAGTCCTCAGCAGCAGAAGGAAAGCTGCCTAGTGCGTGACACCTGAACCCCATTTGGGCGATAATCGTCGTAGGAGCAAGGCTCGCGGTGTTTCCCGAATCCTAACACGAATCGAAACGAAACCCCTAAGCCCCAAACCCTAAACTCGGCCGGGGGGTTGGCTCTAAGATTAAGCGCTCATTTCGGTGCTTCTCATGAGCTCCTGGCTGGCATCTGCGCGAAGCCATGAAGCAAGAGTGCAGACGTGTAGGAACCAGTACCAGTGAGCCCACAACAGCTTTCCCAGCCAGGACTCGGACAGCTAGGACAGCTAGGAGAGCAAGACGTCTGAGCTCCAAGCCCCCAAAGCCTGCGGGTCTCAGCAGCGCCTCGCGCGCCTCCCTTGATGGGCTGCCCTGGCCTCCCAACTCTTCCGAGCTCCTCATGGGGGTGCCGGGCCCATGTGGGGTTTTGGGATGGCGGTTTCAGGTGTCAGGGTGTAGTGTTCGGGCGTTTGTGGCTCTGAGGGGTGCAGTTGGGTAACCCCAAGTCCGAGACCATACTACTAAAGCAACCTTGCGCCTCTGAAGTTTGTAGGGGTGTGTGGGCTCAGAGTTTAAACGCCACACAGCCCTGGAATCCCAAGGCTCGAAACCTAAGGCCTGTTTACCCGAAAACCTGCAACAATTGTTGCGGATAAACAAATGAAGAAATACATAAACATATATATATATAACATGTGTATATATATACACATACACATATGTACATATACGCTTGCATATAGGCACAGTTATGCTGCGTGTTTGAGGCAAAGGTTTACAGTACTCCAGTACTCCAGGTCCGCCCTAAGCCATCCCCGCGATGACGAAGCCACTTGAGGCGAGCTGCAGCTGCGACAAGGCACCCGCGGAGTGCACCCGGCCTGTTCTTCCGCCTTCCCCACACATGAGTTTACGAAAATATGGTACCCCAGATATCTAATGTCGGAAGCCACCACATGGAGGCCCTGAAATGTTAACTCGGGGCCCGGATCTAGGAACATGGTGCAGAATCCTGCCCGGCGCCCCAAACCTTGTAGCCGAAAAAAAGTACAGCTTGTCCCTGTCTGCAGACGGCTTGCATATGCTGGCATCTTCCTCCAGCCGTTGAAGCATTCAACAACCCTGAGCACAAGTCTGAAGCAGCCAGGAAGGTCGTCGTGCAGGCTGGCACGTTGCCCAGCTGCTGCACGGTGCAGCCTGCCAATGAGGACGAGGGTTCAGGGACCAGGTGCCAGAGGTCGAAAAATAAGTTTGGTGTCATGCGGCAGTCCAAACATATCCCCGACCCCTTTTTCCCGATAGTGGCTTCTGATGTCTTCTTGTCTCCATGATGTCGTCTTGCTTTTGCTTTCTTTTGATGTCTTTTTCTGGCCTCATGCGAACAGCTTCGGCGCCTAACGGTCACAGCAACTGCTTATGTGACAACTGCAGGCCTCAAAACGCGTGTTGCTGCCGCAGCTGTTGGCTCCAGGAGAGTGAAAAGAACTCCCTGGCAATTGAAGCAGAAAACAGAGAGAGCAGCAACATACAGCAGGTTGTGTAGCCCCGACACCCGACTTGAACCAGCGACAGCAGCTGCAAACGTGATAACACCCCTGGCAAAAGCACAGGGGGTCTGCTTCCAGAAAACCTCATGTCCTTCCCGCTCCGTGCGCCGGTGCGGAGGCGGGATGTGGACTTCGATGTGGGCGTGCTTTTGGGTCGCGGAACCTTTACCTCCGTCTACCATGCGGTGGAGAAGGCCACAGGGCTTCGGTGCGCCATGAAGATCGTCGATCGATACCGCTGTGAGCGCCTGAAGAAGACGGCGGACGTCTTCATGGAGAAGCACTGTCTCTTGCGCACGAACCACCCCAACATCGTGAAGATGTTGGGCTGGTTCTCTGACAACACCTGCATCTATGTCATGCTGGAGGAGTGCCTTGGCGGAGAGCTCTGGGAAGTGATCAAGACTGTCGGCTGCCCCATCCCCCGCGCCCGCCACTACCTCAGGCAGGCCGTAAACGCCTTGGAGTATCTCCGTCAGGCCCGAATCGTCCACCGGGACATTAAGGCGGAAAACATTATGCTGACAGAGCTGGGCATTGTGAAGCTCATCGACTTCGGTACTGCTAAGGATCTGGAAAATCCCCAGGTCAAAGGCTCGGGCAATGCTTCGAGGCACAAAGTCTTCGAAGATTATGTGGGAACCCCACAGTTTATGCCCAAGGAAGTGATCGAGAATAAATGTAGCGACCATCGTTCCGACATCTGGTCTTTGGGCTGCACGATCTTTCAAATCCTGAGTGGCTGCCCTCCTTTTCACGAGCGCTCGGAGTATCTGATCTTTCAGCGGGTCCTCGCTCGCGATCTTCAGTTTCCACCCGGCATCGATGCAACGGCACGGGATCTGATCGAGCGCATGGTCGTGCAGGACCCCGACGCCCGGCTCGGCGCTGCCGACCTCGAGGACCTCAAGCAGCATCCGTTCTTCGGAGACGGAGCTTTCGATGCGGCACACCGTTCGCCGGTGCCTCTGCTCTCGCTGGCGGCCCTGTGCTACCGGCGGATCGGTAGCCGCATGGAGCAGTTCTTGGAACCGCTCTCAGCCTGGGAGTCCTCGCAGCTCACGGCGGACGTGAGCGAGCAGTTGGAGCGTATGAAAGTCGCCCACCGATGGCAGGAGGAGGTACTCCCGCCTCCCGAGGAGTTCTGACGCGCCCTGTGTGAAAGGATCCGCGAATGGTGCGGGGGCAGTTCGGGGGGTTCCCTTGCTCTGATCGTTTCGCCGCAAACATCCATGAAGGGTCAACCATTCCTGCCTGGCAAATTATCAGCATTCCCAGCAATCCACATATATCCACATATTAAGGCCTTGACCTTCTGAAAAAGGCCCCAAAAGGCCTAAACCCCCCACGGCCGAAAGACACCATAGAGTTCCCGACCCTCAAACCCGGCCCGGAGAACCATGAAGATCATGAAGAACCCTCAAGATTGCGAGGACTCGCGGGGAGTGCTGAACCAGCGGCTACTGGCCGCATGTCGCGGGCCTTGGGGGGGGGGGGTGGACAAGAACATGTAAGAACTGCTGGCTCATACGACTGAGGCCGGGATAGAGACTTGCTGGAGATTTATACCGCCAGACAGGGATCTGGAAGAAAGGGACCTGACCTGTCGCGACCTGCAGCAGATTCGGGGGGACACTACCTCCTTGAAGCGCCTGCCTGGGGTTGACTTGGAAAATGCCTGTAAAAGTTTCCATGGGCCATAATCCCTATATTCCCCCCTCTATCCCCCATCAGAATTCCGTTGTCATGGGGCCTCCCCAAAATGCACTAAGTCCTAAATCCACCTTCAGCCCCAGAACCTTAAACCTATGTCTTCAGCCCCGGACCCGACATGGGAGTTTGCAAAATCAGGGACCTCGAATATAGACCCCCAAATAGTAGGATTCCCTGTCAGGGACCCCAGTAAGGTGCCCCCTAACTTTCGGAAACCTCCACATCCCTGAACCCTAAACCCTAAACCCTAACACCCTACAACCTAAACCCGAAACCCTAAACCCTAAACCCTAAACCCCTAAACCCCTAAACCCCTACATATGCCCGGAAGGTCGCGACAACGACATCGGAGCCCTGAAGATGGCCCTCGAGGAGGCCATGGGATGACATCTCTGCCTGCTGGGCCTTGAAGTCCTTCGAAGTTTTTTAATTTATAAGGTGGGGGGGGGGGGGTACTCTATATATATATATATATATATATATATATATATGTTTTTTTTACAAAATGTTTTTGCATTTTTTTAATATGGGGGGTATTATCATCCCTATTAAGGACTGTTGCTATAAGGGGGAACGAACATCCCAAGGTCTCCGGGATTAGGGACTTTCATAGGGGGTACTATAATCCCTTCTACGGACTGTTAGTGAAAGGGTTTGTGGGATCATGGGTTCGGGGCTTGTGGTTCAGAGGGCTGTGGGTGCCAGCGTGGATGCCACCATGTTGCTCTGTCCAGCCTGTCTCAGTGCCGAAATGACATGTCTCGTGAAGCCCTTGGTTCAAGCACCATGGCCTTGCTCCAAGCTGCCAGGGCTGGATGCCCGACGGCCCGGTTGCGCGAACTTTTGGCCCAAGGCGCTGACATCAACGAGGAGACGGATCGGGGGCAGACCGCATTGCAACTTGCTGCCAAGGGAGGTCATGCACACCTCATCGAGGCCCTGGTGGATGCCGGGGCAGATCCCAACCAGGGAAACTCGTGTGATGGAACCCCCCTCTTCAGCGCAGCTTCGAAGGGCCGTGCGGAGGTCGTGGACGTCTTATTGCGCTGCAGGGCAGATGTCAATCTGGCCATGCGCCAGTGTTCACCACCTTTGATGGGAGCCGCTCATACCGGCAACTTGGAGCTGGTGCGGAAGCTTTTGGCAGGAAGGGCCAATGTGAATGCAACCACCAGCTACGACAGAACCACGGCCATTCTGCAGACCGCGTTGTTTGGGCACAGGGACGTGGTGGCGGAGCTCATTGCAGCACGCGCCGATGTGAACGTCCGAAGGAGTGATCCCGGCATCATGGACTGCGGAGCCACCCCTCTGCTGCTGGCAGCCAAGCGCGGTCATGCTGAAACGGTCAGGCTGCTGCTGCAGAGCAGGTGCGATGTAAATGCCATCAACACCGTCTCGGAGAGCCCGCTCTTTGGGGCTGCCTCGCAGAACCATCCTGAAACTCTGCAGGTGCTGCTGGAGGCAAGGGCTGATCTCGAGCTCCGGACGGAGTGTGGGGAGATGTTCACCGCCCTGCACGCGGCATCCAAGAGAGACTTTCAGGAGGTTGCGCAGCTGCTTCTCATTGCTGGAGCCGATCCCACCTCCTTGTCTGCCGAAGGGAAGCAGCCGTTGGATCTTGCCACAACAGAGGGAATGAGGGATATCCTGGGCAGTGCCACCAAAAAGGCCAGGCTCGGCTAGCAGTACTTGAGCGGAGTGGAAGAAGAGTCTTCTCTCCAGCATCCCTCTTTGCGGGACAAGAAGCAGCAGAGGGATTGGGATTCCCGCTTCATCCAGTGACCCCGTGACGCCTGGACTGACCAGCGGCCGCAACATGCAACCATGGAAAGTGGAAGCCGTTCTGCACGCACACCCAAACCATCAACCAATCTGGGCTATCTCTCTCTCTCTCTCTCTCTCTCTCTCTTTTTGAGGGGCCAGACATGGAAGATCCATGACCCCACCAAGACTTCGATGACGGCCCTGAGTCCCCTTCTCTCCTCTAAACCCAAACCCGCAACCCGAAACCCCTAAACTTGCCCTAAACCCGAAACCCTAACTCCACCCTAAACCCTAAACCCTCCCTATTCCCCGAACCCTGCAGGGGGCCTTCCTAGAAACTCGGCGCCCCTTCGTCATGCGGCCGAAGCCCCCCTCCGGGGTTTTCGGTGACGCCAGCGGCTGAGTGCGTTCGGGGGATTAGGTGTTTAGGGGGGTTTGGGGGTTCAGGTGTTTAGGGGTGTAGGGTTTTGGGGTTAGGGGTTTGAGGGTTTGGGGGTTGGGGGGTTGGGGGATTTAGGGGTTAAAAATTCAGGGAAGTTCAGGGAGTCTGTGCTTGGAATCAGAAAGGTCGCAGGCGTCGAAGCCCAACCTAATGACTCTCCACCTGCTGCTGACCACCACTTACCTTATGTGTACAAAGCACTAAAGCAGAAGCCGGCTACCCCATTCCTTTCCTGATTCTAGCACGCCCCGAGCCCTCCACCCAGGAAGGCCACCAGATCAAGCGGAAGACTCCAAAGGAGGGTCTGACGCCTCTCATGCACCCTTGGCCAGCATTCAGCCTAAACCCTAAATCGTCATTTTTTGAGTGCATGGGCTCAGAGGTCCAAGGGTCTGGAACTTCATTTTGGCGTTCGCCGTTCAGGGCTGGGTCATGCTTACGACGACGCCAAACGTTCAGGCTCGACAGCGCCAAAGTTGAGAGCGCCGGAGAACAATCGCTTAGCTTTTGTTGTGACGAGGGTACCCTCGATGTTTCTGTTTGAGCACGTTGTGAACTCCCGCGGTTTGCCTACTCAGCGTTATGACACGTGATTAAGCCTCGGCTATAGCGCCCCCATGTTCAGGTGAGGAAGAAGGGCTTGGCTTTGAAGGGGGTCTTGCAGCAAGATATCTGCAATCTGGGCCTTCTTAGAACGTCTTCGTTCTTGAACTTGGAAATGGCAATGTCTTCATCACACCCAAAGCTGGAGTCTGGAAGCCCAATATCTTTAGCGTCACCTACACTAGCCGGCAATGCCTAGGTATGCCTCGCAGAATGGCTCGGTGTCTGCCGTTCACATGCTGATGGAGGCCTGGCCTGAAGCCCAACCCAAAACCTCCAAACATTCAAACCCCAAACCCTACAAAACCCTAAAGCCCAAGCCCCCAAGATTGTAACGTGAATAGCAGACCGTAAGAACCCCGCCTTAAACCCGGTGCCTGTAAAACAGGAAGCCATGGACGCTTCAGGATACGCAGGTGATGCCGTTTCAAATTCCCTGGGGTTGGGTCCACGCCCTCTCAGTTGACTCACGAAGGCCTTTTTTTACAGGTTCCGCAGATGGAAGTGCGATCTCTGCTGAATGTCTAATCCGTGCAGTGTCGGATGCGACCTGTAGTTGATGCCGAAATCCTGATGGCCCCCAGGCCTAAAAGCCCTGCACCTAGATGTTCTGGCAGCAGGCCAGGGCCAACATCATGGCCAAAGATGAGGAGACCTTTGTGGGGTAGCCCCGAACCCTAAGCCCAGTGGTACCCTTTTGTCCCGTTTTGAGCAACCATAAAAAGTAACCGACACATACTACGGCCACGAAGAACCCCAAACCCAAACCTTCAACCCTAAACCATCCAAGTTCGTAACCCTTGAGGTTGTACCCTTGAAGGGTTCCCTGAACACACTTCCACTATGGTCAAGGTTAAACCCCAAAACCCCCGCACTCAAACTCAAGCCCTACGAAAGCCTTTGGGCCTCAGCAAGGACACGGCCTAGAAGCATCCTAAACCCTAAGTGCCCAAGACCTTAAACACTCTAAACCCTACACCCCCTAAACCCGAAAACCCCCAAACCCGAAACCCCCTAAACCCGAAGCCCCCTAGAACCTAAGCCCGAAACCCCCAAACCGTACACCCTAAACCCGAAACCCTAAACCCCAAACCCTAAACCGTAAACCCTAAACCCTAAACCCTAGGCCTCAAAATGCAACCGTCAACCCTACAAACCGAGGACGGCATGAGACCCCTGCATTTCGGGGCTCGCTCGGGCACGACAGAGGCATCTCTTTTGTTGGGCCTGACGGGGGTTTGGGTTTGGGTTTAGGGTTTAGGGTTTAGGGTTTAGGGTTTAGGGTTTAGGGTTTAGGGTTTAGGGTTTAGGGTTTAGGGTTCAGCGGCCCAAGGGTTGAAGTTCAGGATTTAGAGTTTCAGGGGTTGGAGTGGTGCTTGGTGTTGTCTCGGGGTCGAAAGCTTACTCGCGTGCGGGTTGAAGGTGTTTAGGGTCCGGGATGTGTGCAACGCCCGTCGGGTCGTGCGTCAGGGCAAACCCAATCCACGGAGTTTAGGGTGTTCATGTCAGCTTTGCACCTGTGTGCCTTCGTCTGCGAAGGAGTTTAAGCTGAGAGAACACTTACATACTTTGTTTTTCCGGGTTCGTGACGTTTTTTTTTTTTTTTTCGGTGCTTGTTGGGAGGCCTTGAACATGTTGGGGCCATTTTGATTGCCTTTGGGACGCTTCTGTCGGCAGCCCGCAGGAGTTTGGGCCCTGTTTCTGTGAAATCTAGGCACGAAAATCGCCTCTAATGAAGGCTGGGAATTTCGCCCACCGTGAGGGTCTCCCCTGCTGTATAGCCCAAATCTGGGAGACCCTAACTGCTAACTACAGGGTCTCAAGAGCTCTCCGTGCGGGCCAACGATGGGGGTACGACCTGGGGCCAGAACCCCGTGAACCTCGAGCATGCCCTGCCAGGTTTGCCGGCTGCTGGTGAAAAGGGGTGCGGACATCCTGTCCGTGGTTGCGGGCTCAGGGCTTGCGTGGTGGCTGAAACCACGGCTGCCTCTCAGGGAAGATTCGAGCGCCAGAACTTCAACACCAGGCCAAACCCTGAATCCTTAAACCAGGCCAAACCCTGAATCCTTACTTCTTTAGAAGGTTAAGAGGGCTTCGTGGAGCTTGGGTCCAGAGGCGTGAAGGTTGCGGGTGCAAAGTGTAACGACAAGCCCTAGCCTGAATTTTGAAGCCTCGTTGCACCTGGGGAGAGTCTCGACTCAGGACGATGACGGGAACACGGCTCTGGATTTCGTTCCCAGCCGCCCTGCCATGTTTGTTCCCTTGAGGGCAAGTGTAAAGCTTGTAATGACGCCACAGATAGATGATGAGGGGCAAGTGACAGACTGCGGGTTTTCTGTAAGAAGCCTGTACCAATACTTCAAGAACTTGCCTTGCCTAAAGGTGTATCGAGGCCACTCTAGGCAGGGTTGAGTAAGGATTCCGCCGTCGTGGGTTGATGAAGCCTACGAGCTGTCTGCAACTACGGTGGCTTTCAAAAGGCCTTGTTTCGGGGGTCCGTTTTGGGCAGGACCTTTTCCTTCAGCCAGGAGCCCCTAAATTTGGAACTTTGAGAGAACTTGTTTTCTGCCCGGCGCCCGCCCTGCATGCTGGGAAGCCCTCTTGTGGAAAAGCCATGCACCCTACTTCAGAGGTTCATGGGTAGTTCTCAGTAGGGTGATAAGTGCCCTAAATGAGGTTATAAGAAATATATCGAGAGTTACCCGACTGATGGCCCCACTTGTAACTACCCATGAGCCTCCAAGTAAACCCAGTATGATTGCCTTGAGGCGACCAGATGGAAACTCCAGCGCAGCGGAAGGATTGGGAGGCAGTGGGGCTCTGCTTCTCTCGTTTGTTCTTTTTCGGGGTCGTGCATGTGTTGTTCTTAGGCCTTAGTTCTAGGCATTTTGTTCGATGGGCCCGAGGATCAAGCTTCGAGGGCTTTATGGGCTTAGGACAATGGGGGGGGGGGGGGGGGGGGGTCCAGTGTTGGGTTCTCATTGTGTCGGGCTTTCCCAGTTCGCAACTACCATTCATTCCCATTTGCTAGCCATGCCCCACCCCCTATGCCTCAACCTCCAACCCAGCCAAAGACCCAACACAAGACCCAAATGATGCAAATCCATACTATGGGACCACATAGAACACCCGTAGCACCCAACCCGAAGCCCCTATCCCGAGAAAGTGGAAATGGTCTATTCTAATAGTTTTTCTATAAGGTTTAGGGATAAGGTAAAACCACAGGATTAAAACTACAACAGCATGATTATAGCTATGTTTTATCAACAGAAATTTCAGTGTCTATTCTGTCCTTATGCTTGCTGGATAGCATAAGTAATCTTAACTTCATTCGTACTTCATGGACATGATTGAATACAATAACAATACCGGATTCAGGTTTGTCGGGTTCGGGTTGTGGCTCTGGTGTTTCCTCTTCATCTCCAAATTTATTAGGAAACTGTCCATTTTAATCGTTTGCGTATTTTCCTTTTCTGCTTTTTCGTATTCTGCCTTAGTTTCTGCTTGCAATTTGTCGTTTAGTTTGCCTTCTTTCCTTGCCTAGTTTCCTTAATACCCTTTCATCAATTCTGAATTCGGATGTAACGCATAATGGACATGGGCGTCGCAGTCTTCGTGTTTCAATTTATGACCCTCATTCTTCGCACAATTGGCTCCCCTTTGCCCTCGCCTCTCTTCCCTAAACCCGATAAACCCTGTAAACGCCATGACCCCCATGAACCCTATCAACCCCAAAATGATGAAACAAACAAACAAATCAAATGCAAAACTAAGCACAGAGATGAATATGATACTCACACATACATATATATACATATATACATATACACATGCATACACACACACACATACACACACACATACACACACACACACACATACACACATACACACATACACACATACACACATACACACATACACACATACACACATGCAAACATGCACACATGCACACACACACACATACATACATACATACATACATACATACATACATACATACATACATACATACATACGTACGAAAATTCACACACACATGTATGTAATGACAGCATGCACATAAAATGTATGTATATGTATATAGGTCTTGGGTTGGGTTCTTTTGGTGAGTTGAAGGTTGTTATGTTTTGGCTGCTAGGGGGGTGGTGCATGAATGCAAATGGTAGTTGCTTGCTTTCCGCCCCGGTGCCTTCTCTGGGCTATCACCCATACAGCAGCTGGCAAGTTAGAACAAGAAATATACGTCCATTTGTCTCTATATGTATGTATATATATATATATAGTACACATAATATGACAATTCTCCCAAACCCCAAGCCAGCGTGGACATTCAGGCTGCCCTAAAGCCCTCACCCCTGAAATCACAGCGCCATCTCCACTCCACGCAGCACTCTGGCATTCTGTTCAGCGATTCCCTGAGATTTGCAGAAGCCACACCTCGGGGCCGACAGGCTTTCTTTGGGGGGTGGGGTTCACTGCCAAGACCCTGAGCCCTATACTAACGCCGAAGCCCATGAGCTCCTTGTCGCAGGAGATCCTGGGGGTTCCCAAGGGGCTTTCCGATGAGGCGCGGTGCTGAATTCGGAGCTCGGCTCAGAAGTCGGAACCACTGAAAGTCTGCCATCCCTCAACCCTGAACCCAAAAACGTAAACCCTAAGCCCTATACCCTGAACACTGAACCCTAAACCCTGAACCCAAAAAGCCAGGCGGCTCTGGAGCAGGAGGCCGCAGGATCCTCAGAGGGGCGTTCGGCAGTGATTCTAAAGGACTGCAGGGTTGCCGAGTTTCCCCCAAGCCGTGGTTTCAGGGTTCTGGCGTTTTTGGGTGTAGGGGGCGGACCCTTGCGAAGCAGAAATAAGGCCCGGGAAAGACACCCCCAGAATCAAAATCTGATACTAATTCAAGCATATGGGGTTACGTGACATTGAAGCCTAGCAAGGGCTTGTCAAGAAGCTCTTGTGAATGCAGGGCGTTTTTGCTCTAAGGGTTCTTTTGCCCTACACCCTAAACCCTAAACCTTCAACCCCTAAACCCTAAATCCTAAATCCTAAAGTCCTCAACCCCAAAATTATTTAAGGGTCATCTGCTGCCGAGGCGCAGTTGGAGGCAGATCTGTTGTGGCTGGCCGAGGGGGAGCCCATCCGCAAGTGTTAAGCCCGACACCTCTCCAAGGCAGCTTCCCAGAAACCGTAAACCCTAAGCCCTAAGCCCTAAACCCGAAACCCTAAACCCTAAACCTGAACCCTAAACCCCAAACCCTAGCCCTAAACCCTAAACCCTAAACCCTAAATTCTAAATTGCCAAGACCCAAGTCCGCTGCATGTCAGTGGGAGGCCTCGGGTTGTCGGAGGCTGTGGGTTGTCAGAACCAGGGTGCGGTTTCAGACCGTGGTGCTGAGTAGATACCTGGGTTTAGGGTTTCGGGTTTCGGGTTTAGAGTAGAGGGTTCAGGCTTTAGGGTTTCGGGTTTAGGGTTCAGGGTTGACAACTGTGTTCAACACTTTCGGGGTACGAGATCGCCTGGTTGATCCTGTTTGCCCCCTTATAAGGCCTGTACGTCAGGTTGCGCCAGACCCTAGCGACCCACGAACTCTACATTGTAGACTCTACATCTCTACATGGTAAGTTCTCTAAATTATGGTCCCTTTTGGGTACCCTAGAAATGAGGGGCTGCCTTTTTTAGCAACCCTCCCAAAAAAGAGCCATATTTCAGAGAAGTGCCCACATCCTAAAACAACCCTCAGCCCGTTTGGCCTCATTTTCGTTTTCGATGCACACCGCAGCAGGAGCCCCGCTTGGTGGGAAGCGTTCTGCCTCATAGGGAAGTGTGGGGTTTGATTGGGGGTTTGGGTGTCCCTAAACCCTAAACCCTAAACCCTAAACCCTAAACCCTAAACCCTAAACCCTAAACCCTACACCCTCAACCCTCAACACTCAACCCTGAACCCTCAACCGAGGAATAGAAAAGGGGGAGGGCGCGCCCACGAAGGAGGGGATCTCCGCTGCGGGGAGGTTTCACCGGCCTCTTGAAGGCTCCGGCAACGGGTGCAGCCCAAAGCGGTTTCATCGAAGTTGCTGCAGCGGCGGTGTGTGGGCCACCTTGTGGCCGACAAAGTTCCTTGGGTTTAGGGTTGAACTAGGGTTGAACTAGGGCTGATGTCGGGTTTAGGGTTTTTTTTGGGTTTGAGCAGCCCTGAGCCTGGGTTCTTGTTGGTTATAATTTTACATCTATGTCATATTAAAATCCCAATAAAGAATAAACAACGATCATTGTTAATGCAACCCCAACAGGGAAGCATGAGCAACCCCAACCTACAACCCCCTGGTTCTTGGTAGAGAATAAGGGAATCAGGGCTCCAGGGCCATATATATACCCTTTAAGGGATCACCTAGAGGGCACCTCGCTCCCCCGTTCCCTACTACGACGAAGAGCCAGCCAGACAAGCCCCGAAGGGGCTTGTCGAAGCCATGCTAACGTGCAACTCGCATGGATCTGCAGCTGTCTGTGCCCACAGCAAAGCACCCCATCTCCAGCCCCGGGGCTCGAGGCTGGGGCTGTTTTTTTTTCTCTTTATTTTTCTTTTTTTCTGGCTCAGGGTTCAGGGTTTAGGGTTTGGGTTGTAGGCTTAGGGTCAGGGGTTTGATGTTTGCGGCAGAGACCCAGACCCGAGGCCAAAGAAAACACTGCAAAATACCGATCCGCAGGAGGCCGGGCAGTTTTGAGAAATCAGGCATGCAAAAGCCTAAACAACCCACCATAAACACAATGATATTCATTGAATTGATAACCAATTAACAAACATATTGTTGTAATTTACACTGCGATATGGCACACACCCCGCTTCCTAAAGCATGGCCCCCTTTGAGAGCGAAGCCCAGCCATCCCCACCCCCCCCCCCCCCCCCCCCCCCCCCCCCCTTTTTTTTCCCAGCATGTGGTCCCGGAAGGTGTCGTGATGCTGCCACCCGAGCCTGCTGCTCAAGTCAGGATTTAGGGTTTAGGGTTTTTAGGGTTTAGGGTTTAGGGTTTAGGGTTTGGGGTTTGGGGTTTGGGGTTCAGGGTTTCACTTCCAGGAACCGAGGGGTTTAGGGCTGAGGGTCCGCGGGCCCCATATCAGCTTGGGGTTTAGGGCTTCTTGCTTGGGGGGGGGGGCATCCGACCCTCGACCTGACGGGATTCTACAGGCTTCTAAGGTTCCTACACCCTCGAGCCCCTCTACACCTCCGTCGTTCTTTTGCGAGGGTTCCCCTAAGCGCCAGATCCTGCTTCTTCGTAGGGCCCCTCGCTTATGAGGCGTGCTGCGGGACTGTGGAACGATCCAGCAGCCGGCGAGGTGGGTCTTGTGAGGCTATAGGGTTTAGGGTTTAGGGCTGAGGTTTAAAGCTCAGGGTTTAGGCCGTGTCGTGGAAAGCGCTTGCAACTCCTCAGCCTGGCGTAGCTCTGACACAACAGTGAGCCCAAAACCGACGTTGCCCTTCTCGGGACGAGTGCGGACACGTCCACGAAGCATCAGTCCCCGTAAATAAGGTGATGGTCCCTGCTGCCTTGCTTCGGGTTCAGGTTGGAGGGCTTGAAGAGTTTAGGGTAAGGAGGTCAGGTTGGAGGGAAGCCCAGAACCCCAACCCCCCAACCCCCCCAACCCCCAACCCACTCCCCCCCAACCTCCATCCCTCAAGCATCCCCTTCGCGCGGCCGCCGGAGCTCTGCCGGCTCCTGCTTTTCTCGACGTCCCAAGTGGCCCCGCGTGCGCCCGACAGCCGCAGGCCTTGGTTCGAGGGAGGCACGATAAGCTGGAGGAGCTGGACTACCAACATGATCACTGAAAGTGTGACCATAATATCTGTATATGGGTATCTTAAATGTCCTAGTTAAAGATTCGACATGTTCTCATCAAACAGGTCCCCGCATGAGGCTTCCTGTGAGGTTCTGGGGATGTTAGTTCACGGGATGCAGGCCTCAGCTCCAAGCAGCTCGAACTCGCAAGGGCACGTGGGCTTCCGGACCCTGGGCCGAAAGAGCCCGAGAATCATAACCTTCCAAACCTTTGATCCCTCAACCCTGAACCCCATGATTCTATGTTTAAGGTGACCTGCCGGGGACCCTAGATCAGAGCAACCCTGAAGCCGCTAAACCCTAAACCCTAACTCCCCAAGACCCAAATTCAGCCCTCCCATCGTCCCTCAGGCCATGGCCTCCGGCGCGCACCCGCCGCCACTGCCGGCCACGGAGCTTCAAAGGGTTTAGGGTTTAGGGTTGAGGGGGAGTTAGGGGTCGTCCAGGGTTTGCGAAACCCTAAACTCCTAAACCCTCTTTCTAGGTAGCCTTCAGAACACACCCCCCCCAAGCCCTCCAAGCCTCACATCCGAAGCTTCGCTCTAAGGGTTTGGGGCTTCGGCTTGGGGGGGGGGGGGGGTCTCGGGGTGTTTGAGGATTTTTTGGGTTTAGGCTTGGCTGAAGGCTTTGATCGATCGTCCGCCTGGTTAGAAAAGGGGTTTGCAGGGGTGGAGGCTGATAAGTTCGAGGGTTCACGCGCTGTTTTGTAGTGGGAATGAAGGAATGAGACATGATGACACTTCATTTTTCTGTCTTTTCTTGCTGTGCACGCCCCTGCTAGCCGACGCTAGGCTCGGATACATGAAAATCAGGGGTGCAGGCTTTGAGGCTGTAAGTCCCGAGCTCAGGGGGCAAACAACCCAAAAACACCTCAAAACCCGCAGGGTTCAGGGTTTATCTAGGGTTGAAAATCAAAGCCCTCAAAACCTTGCTGCGAGCTTCTAGAGCCCCTGAACCCCTGCGTGGCTGAGGATCTGGCGCTGGATGTCAGCTGCCTCATGGATGCGGTGCGCCAGGACTCCATGGGGGTGGGCTGAGCTAGATGATGGGCCTCTGTTGTCAGTGAGGGTTGCTTTTGAAATTCATTTTCAAGTTTCAAACCCTGTATCTATCACCCTATGTTTTGCGACAGTAGGTCAGTTGTTTTGGGGGATGACAAAGGAGTCCCTTGAGCGACCTCTCCCCCAACAGTAGATGTTGAATTTTGTAGGTAAGTCAGACGATACTTTGCTTTGGAGGCTTTCCGGCCAGCATGCAAACCCTGCATTCTGCAAGTGCCCAAAGCTTTGCACCCCGAACCCTACAGGCCAATAAGTACAATTAAACCCATTCCCATTGAACCTCCTTGAACTGACATCCAAGAGCAGCTGAGCATCTGGAGTTTTAAGCAAAACCAACAGCATCCCCTCAAGTCCCCCACCTCTCGCTCAATATGCAGACCCCCTAGCCACAAACCCATGCGATTCTAATGAAAAATAGCCCCCCCCCCCCCCCCCCCCCCCTACACAGGAGGTGATGCAGCTGATGCAGGAGGGAGCCATGGCCTGAGCTCCCCCCCCGTGCAAAACTCCTGCTTCCAAGAGTTCTCTCATGCCAACCGCTCGTGGACCCTCAAGACCTGGGATGATTCCCCCCCTTAGACTACGTACTTGTAACAGTGTTGTGTAGGGATTGGAGTAGCCACTGTTATAATCCCTGCTTAAGGACTACCAGTACAAGGGGGGAACATCCCAACTTAAGACCCCTTGAGCCTCTTTTCAATAACCCTAAACCCTAAACCCCAAACCCCCAAACCCCAAACCCCAAACCCCAAACCCTAACCCTAAATTTAAACCCTAAACCCTAAAACCCTTAAGACCCCTTAAGAGCCCCCCTTTGAGTTCCTGAGGTTCAGAAGACGGCGTCCTACTGCGCCTCTCTCTGCGCCGAGCGCATCGTCACCGCGCGGAGGGAGATGCAGCAGCCTGGCAAGAGGAGATGTAAGGGGGGTGTAGGGTTTAGGGTTTAGGGTTTAGGGTTGTAGGGTGTCAGGGTTTCAGGGTTTGAGGGTCTTGGGTTTCCGGGGTCCAAGGGCTGGAGGAGAGAGGCGTTAGGCTCGGGCTCGGTTTGGCTGACCTGGGCAGAGCTCGGCCCCTCAACCCCCCCCCCCCTTGTTTCCCCTTTCTAAAACCCCTAAAAGCGCCTGGGTGCCCAAACTTCTGGGTGCCCTAAGCCCCGAAACCGTAAGCCCCTCAACAAGCAACACCACCATCCACTAGGTGCCCACCTCCTTCTCATCGGGGGGCTTAGATTCTGCTGAGGATACTCAAGGGGCGCCCTGTTGTTTTCTCTTAGGTTGCCAGGGACCCTAAAACTCTAAACCTGACCCTACACCCGAAACCCTAAGCCCTGAACTAGACTTTCTTTTCTTAAGCTACTCATAGTCCGAGTGCCCTGAGGCGACGTTGGGCCGAGGAGCGCCGCGAGCCGTGAGCTCGGCCTTCGGCAGGTTGAGTTTTTTTGTCTTGTGTCATAAGTTGCATTTGTTTTTGGAGGTGCTTTTAAAGGTCTTTTTTTGGTGTAAAGGGTCTAAACCTTGCTTCAGGGCTTTCTCTGCGCAGCAACACCACACTGCGCGAACACTTGCGGGGCAAGCTGAAAGCTGAAGCCAGGACCCAAAGTGCTGTAATGGAGGGGTCTGAAGAAGTACGAATCGTTTGCCCTTGTGGTCCCCTGTTAGCCGCCAAGCCCCCACTCTCACTTGATGGGCCTTGGGATGTTCCTCCTTATACTAACAGTCCTGAATCGGCATGCGAAACCCTAAATCCTAAACCCTAAACCCGAAACCCGAAACCCTAAACCCTAAACCCTAAACCCTAAACCCTTATAGATAAGGACTGTTAGTATAAGGGGGAACATCCCTAGATGGGCCTCTTGTTTTGGGGAATCCCCGCCTGGGTGTGCTTCTTGCAGTTCAGGGCACCAATGCTTCCATCCCAAAGGCCCACAAACCGCAGATAGCTCCCCCTCAACCCTAAACCCTCAACCCTCAACCCTCAACCCTCAACCCTCAACCCTAAACCCTAAACCCTAAACCCCAAACCCGAAACCCTAAACCGGGTGTACGTCAATGCTCATGTATTGTCTTGGAGAGAGGGGGGGCTGACAGGCCCAGGGCCCCCCAGGTGAGCTCCAAGCCTTCGGGAGTCCACCGCTTCCCTTGCCAGGCTTGAGAGGCTCTATGGCCTGCCCCCCAACAGCTGCGGGTGCGCCTAGGGGTTTAGGATTTAGGGTTTAGGGTTTAGGGTTTAGGGCTTGGCCTGTTAGGGGTCAGGTTGCGGGGTTTCTGCTTTCGTAGCAAGGCTGCCAGAACAATTTCAGCCTCCAGAGTTTTCGGGTTGTTTCCTTCATACCGCCAGGCTTTTGGATGTTTCACGTGTTTTGTGTGGGTGTGGCTTTTGGACTTCCGTTTCCTGGGTGTGGGGGCGGGTGGGGGGTAAAGAAGACCCCTCCAGCACTTAACCAGCGGACAGCTTCACCCCAAACAGCTTGGAATACACTCAACTTGCACCCAATGCCCCAACCGCCTGCCCAAAACACGGTTGTTTTACAGCATTTTTGCGCTATCGCGCATTTAACGATTCTAGTGCTGAAACTTCGCCTCCTGATTCCTGAAGCTCTGCCTAACTAGAACCCTGAAACATCAACAGTCAAAGACCAAGTCCTGTGCGAAACTCGTCTGAGTATAGCAGTGATGTCGGCAGCCGAGTCAGCACGGCTGGCAGTTATCCTCAACTAAACTGTCTTAAGACTCTGAAGAAGTAATGTGCCTGAACAACTGACTTTAACAACAAAATATAACAATCTTATGTTTCCTTGCAGAAGCTGTTACTGCACCCCTCTAAAGAATCCCTCTTAAGGACGGTTTCTGCATGGCTTGGGCTTCTTGCGGTGGCTTCGGGGGCCTTGATGTGTGGAATCCAGCAATCGAGCATGCCAGGGCTGGTACTCCAATGTCCTCCTCTGCGAGGCTGGGGGTGAATCCTGAACCCTCAACCATCGGCCCTGAGCCGTGTCTCGAACTCTGGCAGCATAGGCGCACCCCCCCCCCCCCCCCCCCCCCCCCCCCCCCCATGGTATGCCCCTCTCCATGGTATCCCCCCCCCCCCCCCCGGGTGGTTCATGGTCAATTGGTTCAGTGTGGGTTTAGAGTTTAATTTGGGTTCAAGGTTTGGGGTAGGTTTACGGTTTCCCCTCTCCCCCCTGTGGTTCGTGCTGGGTTTACGGTTCAGGGGTCAAAGCGGCTAAGGTTTCGGGTTTCCCCTTCTCCCTCCTGTCGTTCATTGGCGGGTTTAGGTTTTAGGGCTTAGGGTTCAGGGTTTGGGGATTAGGCTGAGGTTTCTCTGTCCCCCCCCATGGTCCGTGGTGTTTTCGGGTTAACAGGCAGGGTTCGGGCGGGGGGGGGATACCATGGCGGGGGGTGGGAGATACCATTGGGGGGGGTGGATTACGCGGAACGCGGGCGCGTGTGGGGGATTTTCGGGTTTATTTTGGGGGTTGTTTAGGGGGTTACTTAAGTATCTAGGGGCCATACACGGTACAGCAAGGGGGTTGTAGGGGAAGGAGATGAAGGGTCCCTTCTGGGGCCTTCAGTAATTTCCCCTTGTACCGCTTAAGTCTCTCTTCCAGGTGTAGTGGGACCTCCCGAATGGCCTTGGCTCCTGCATCGCGAGCAGGCCGAAGATTGGGGGGCCGGGCCAGGGCTCCCGAGAGCAGCACCGCCCCCAAAGGAACCCAGAGCCCAAGCCCTTCAAGCCCTACAGAGTATGCCGAGGCCCCCATAGCCCCACAAGCCCGAAGCCGACGAAGCTCCGCCCCCCAAAACCCCGAAAACCCCAAAGGCTCTGTGCACTCCTCGGGGACGCACGAGGGGCGCCTGGGCTGCCGAACCGAGCTTCCACGCATTTTGGGGATCTTGTGGAGGTTTTGATTCAGCAGGCCCTAAACCCTGAACCCTGAACCTTAATCAACTTTAAACCCAACAACCCGGTCCTTGAGTAAGTCCTTGAGGTCAAATGTTTTGCAGGGCGTCCGGCCCTCTGAAGGATCGACGTTCCAAAGCCCGGAACCCCTCCCCGTAATATTCAACCCCCACTACCCCCTAAGATTAAATACTCCCATTAGAGTTACATTAGGGTATATGGGGGGTATTTCATATCAGGGGGTGGGGGGGGGGGCGGGCGAAGCCACAGTTGATGCAAAGGTTCCAGCCGGCATCTTCGCAGCAAGCAGGCAGGGATTCACAAGTTAGGGCCCTCATGAACCCCAACTTGGGACGTGCCCCCTTTATACAAGCAGTCCTTAAGAGGGATTATAATCGGGGGGTACTATAATCCTCATTATTTTAAGGGGCTGCGCCCATGGGCGGGCAGCGCACGCAGAAGCCCGGGGCGAGCAGTTTCTAAGCATGTTGAGCTCCCTTAAAATCTCTAAGCGTTAAGTTTCTAAGCATTTTCAGGCCCCTAAACTCCCTTCAAATCTCTAAGCGTTTGAGGCTCCTAGACTCCCTTAACGTTTCTAAAGGCCCCTAAACTCCCTTTTTCCTAGCCCCGGGCTTAGACACGTCGCTTATGCCCGCCCTTTGGGGGGCCATGCTCCTGATGCGCCCCCGGGGTCCCGCCCCGGGAGCCGCTGATGCTCCTGATGCGCGCCTGGGGGTCCCGGGCTGGACCCGCTGATGCTCATGATGCGCGCCCTCTGGGGGCCTCCGTGGCGACGCAAAAAACCACGAAAAAAAAACCGTTCACCGGCGGCACGCGGGGGTCGGCGGCACTGGCGTCCGGCCTAATTCTGCTTCGCAGAAGGCCAGAGGCCAGCAAGGCTATTCCCGGGACGACCCGGGCTAAAAGGTCCGCATTTGCTCGGTCCTTTGGGGACCTCGCGCTGCCCGATTTAATGGCTACCGCCAGTGCCGCCGACCCCAGACCCAAGACAGTCGCATTGGGGCGGAAGGCAGGGTGGAGCGCGGGCAGGCCGGGGGGGCGGGGGCGGGGGGGGGGTGGGGGTGGGTGGGGGTGGAAAGGGGGGCGGCGGTGGGGGGTGAAGGCAGGGGTGGACTGGGGGGCATAGAGATGAAGAAGCGATGAGAGCGGTGAGAGCGGGGGGCGGTGGGATGGTGCACGATGGTGGGAGGGGGTAATGATGAGGGCTGGGGAGGGTTGGTGGGAGGGTTAGGGAGTGGGAGTGGGAGAGGGTGGGGGCGGCTGGCGGAAAGGGGGGCCTGACTCATTTGACCAGCTCTGGTGAGAGGGTTGGGGCGGAAGGCAGGGTGGAGCGCGGCGGGTGGACAGGGGAGGTGACGGTCGAGGGTTGGTGGAGTTGGGGGTGGAAGGCAGGGGAGTGATGAGAGCGGGGAGGCGGTTAGGGTGCGTGGATTGGAATCCCTATTTGTCAGGGGCGGAGTAGCGGGTAGGGGCCTAGGAGGGAAGGGATGGGGGGGGTGGGGGGGTGGGGGGGGGGTTTTCAGAGTCGAGGCGGCGGGTGGGGGGTTGAGGTAAAGGGTTGGTGGGGGTGGACTGGGGGGTAGGGAGGGGGAGTGATGAGAGCGGTGAGAGGGTGAGGGCGCTCAGACTGGAAGGGGGGTGGGGGGGGGGGGGTGGGGGGGGGGGTGGGGGGGGTGTGGGGGGGGGGGGGGGTGGGGGGGGGGTGGGGGGGGGTGGGGGGGGGGGGGGGGGGTTAGGGAGGGGCGAAGGAAGGGATGGGAACGGTGGGGGGGTGGGTGAGAGCTGGTTTCCTTTAAAACAATGGGATTGTGGGGGGGGGGGGGGGTGGCGGGGCATGCACTGGACCCTTTAAACCACCTGAATGGATGGGGTGGGGGGGGTCAAAGGTCCAATTCAAGGCGTCATGGGTGAGGGCGATGGGTGGCGGGGTTTGGGCATGCACTGAAGCCAAACAATGCAAAAACACTCCAATTCAAGGTGTCATGAGCAGCATGCTGTGAGAGCGGGTGAGGGCGGTGAGGGCGGTGGGGGGTCTTCACTGACGCCGCCCTGCTACCGCTGGGGTCGGCGGCTACTAGGGGGTACTATAATCCTTAACAAGGACTGCTAGTATAAGGGGGAACATCCCAAACCCCAACCCTTAAGGGGCATGATTGACACCTCGATGTGTTCGACCGGGGTCCCAAACCGCAGTCTAATGTTTGTTGGTGGGGGGGCCGGGGCTGCTCCAATCGCAACACCAACTCCGGAGATTTCAAGCCATGATGAGTCTGCCGCTAAAGGGTCTACGCAGTGTCTCTTTGCGTTCACGGTTTCTGGTGCCGGGCTTTCGTGTGAGGCGCTCAACCATTGCGAGGCAGCAAGCTTGCTCTGACTTCGACCCTGAACCAGAACTCTTCCGCTCCTCTACCCCCGTAACTCCCAAACCCCTAAAAACCCCCTTTCCTTGCATAGTGTCGCAGCTTTTAAGTGCTCGGCGGCGCAGGCGGGGCCCAGTCCTCGAGCTTCCCGTCGAAGGCTCGTCATCACGCAACCCTAGGTCAAACACTATATGCAAGGGCTCAGTAGTGGCAAGAAGTCCTGAATTTCAAGCCACGAAACCGTTCTCTCTGAATCCTACACTCGATCTACACCTTGGCAACGTTCAGTTCCCACACCTGAAGGCTGCAAACTCTTTTTGTTCGCCGTGCCTGAACTTTCGTAATCGCGCGCGGCTCAAGAAGACTTGTGCGCTCCGGCTCGCCTTCTGGCCCTCTCCAACTCGCCTCGCAACCTCGCAGCCTTCGCAGCCTCGCAATGGCCGACTCCGCCTCGGACGTCCAGCAGCGCTCCGAGCTCCTTGGGGAAACCAGGCGCCCCTCTGGGCGCCTCGTGGCCGGCCTGGGCTTCCTCGGCTTCGCCTTGCTGGCTCTGGGCTTCCTCGCCGGCCGCATGACGATGGGGGGGGGCGGGGGAGCAGCAGTCGAGCCTGGGCGGCGTGATCCAGCGCGACGAGTTGACTCATGCCGTGAACCAAGTCTTCGCACGGTTTGATGACGACAAAAGCGGTCTCCTCGACATGGATGAAACGAAAGGCCTACTCAAGGCCCTGCTGTCCATGCGACGAGTGAAAAGAGCACCAACCGAGGACGAGCTTCACGAGGCCGCCAAGGCGCTTGACAAGGATGCCTCCGGAGGGATTCACAAAGCCGAGCTGAAGCAGGTCCTTCAGGAACTGTCGCCTCTTTAGCGTTGAGGGTTCAGGTCTCCGCACGATAAGAGGTGTATGTCATGGTGAAGCCGAACCAGAGGGATGGTGTGTTTTAGCCCAGACTCCAGACCTGGCTCGCCGGATGACAAAACTCGGGTTTCGTGCTGAAGCAGCATGACACGCGAGAGCTCGCCGCAATGTCTCAGCCTAAGACCCTTGTTCCTAAACCGGGGTAAGCTGACCCAAAGGCTGGCCTGAAAGCTTCGCGAGCCTCCGACGAGCACCTGTGCCGGGCTGAGGGGCTAATGAGGGTTTGTTCGCTTTGATCCACAGGTCTCGGGTGTGGGCTTGGTGTTGGTCATGTATGCCGGAGAACACGCTGCAGGAATGGGGCTGGTAGCCTGTTGGGGGTGGACTGATTGCGCGATAGATTCTTTCGTTGATGGCCCTCGAGTTTTTTCGCCTTCTGGCTAAAACCTCCAGCACCTCGGGCGCCTCGTGACGTCAAGGCAACACAACCTGGACTCCACGTTTATCGACGCCTACGACGCCGCACGGGACCCAGAAAACCAAAGCAACCTCGCCCGGACGAAGAATCCTATAGCAAATCCACTCCAGCTCTGGAATTAGAGTGCCATTCTTTCATTCTGGATGACCTTCTTGTCCAAGTGACACCGAAGCTAACGCCCGGAATGACCCTGAGAATGTCTGCTTTACTAGGAGCGAGACATCGCAAGACCTCTTGGGGTAGGCTTCAGGCTCCAAAACCCTAAAACCCTAAAACCCTAAAACCCTAAAACCCTAAAACCCTAAAACCCTAAAACCCTAAAACCCTAAAACCCTAAAACCCTAAAACCCTAAAACCCTAAAACCCTAAAACCCTAAAACCCTAAAACCCTAAAACCCGAAAACCCTAAAACCCTAAAACCCTAAAACCCTAAAACCCGAAAACCCCAAAACCCTAAAACCCTAAAACCCTAAAACCCTAAAACCCTAAAACCCTAAAACCCTAAAACCCGAAAACCCGAAAACCCTAAAACCCTAAAACCCTAAAACCCTAAAACCCTAAAACCCTAAAACCCTAAAACCCTAAAACCCTAAAACCCTAAAACCCTAAAACCCTAAAACCCTAAAACCCTAAAACCCTAAACCCTAAACCCTCAAAGCGGAGTTCCGTTCTGCTCTACCCGGAGGTTCAGACGCTTGAGGAGCGAAACCAACAAGCTGCACGAGCCATGCAGCTCCTAGACGAGGCCTCAACGGGGGGAAGTCCGGGAAGCCTCTCCCTTTAAGGGAGGAGGAGCAGAAGGGTTTAGGGTTTAGGGTTCAGGGTTCAGGGTCCCCCCCCCCCCCAGCAGCCGTAGCCGCACTGAAGAAGCAGAAGTGGCACTGGTGGAGCTCTGACTTCGTTGTGCTTCGGGCGCAGTGTTGGGAGAAGTGGCCCGCGGGACCAAGTTCGCCCCACATGGCTGAGCCTTCAACCCCGAGCCTCAAACCCCCAACAGCCTCATAAGCCCCCAAACCTTAAACCCTGAACCCTGAACCCTAAACCCTTAACCCTTTTCCCTAAACCCTAATCCCTAAACCCAAAACCCTAAACCTTAAACCCCTAAAGCCCTAAACCCCTAAACAAAAGACAAGCCGCAAGATGGTTGCTTTCCCTGCCCGATGTGTCAGGCGCTGAGGGCGGCCGAGAGCGCCGGTGCGGTGCTGAGATGGGGCGTCTTTTTTTGCTGCAGTATAGGGTTTAGGGTTTAGGGTTTGGGTTTTGGGGTTTGGGGTTTGGGGTTTAGGGTTTAGGGTTTAGGGTTTAGGGTTTAGGGTTTAGGGTTAGGGGGTCGGAGTAATTGCTGGTAATTACTAAGAATTGCTGATAATTGCTGAAAATGACTAATCATTACTAATAATCATTAATAGTTGCTAATAATGACTAATATTTTCTAATAATTACTAAAACATGACTAATAAATTACTAATAATCAGTAATAATTGCTAATAATTATTTAATAATTACTAACATCACTCCCCTTCGGGTCCCTCTATAGTTGTACCATAGTATTCGAATTGTTCAGGACCCTATAGTATATTGATTTTCCTTGGGGATCGCAGGATGAAACACACCTCATGCCTTTCCTAAGGGTTTCGGGGTCTGGGGGTTTAGGGTTTTGTTTAAGTAGGGGTTTAGGGGTTTAGGGTTTTAGGGGTCTAGAATTAGGGTTTAAGTAGGGGCTTGGGGTTTTAGGGTTTAGGGTTTTAGGGGTCTAGAATTAGGGTTTGAGGGTTGAGAGTTTGTACTCCTCCTCCTCCTCCTCCTCCCAGCCTCGTAACTGCGCATCCCGCCTGCAACCTCTGGACGTCACGCTTGAAGCGCAGAAAATCAAATCCTAAGCCGCTCTGAGGCAAATTACCCGAACCCTAAACCCTAGCGTGCCGTGTAAAGATCCGTTTTAGGGAGGACGCCCTCACCCTCAAAAAGATGCTGCGGCCCCAGAAGCGTTGCAGGAGGCCGGTCGAGTCGAGGTCCCCAAACAGGCCGGCAGCAACCAGGTTCAGGGTCAGCGCGTCGTGAAAGGGGGATCGTGCTCTTTCTTTGTAAGGGGGGGGGGGTTTCCCAATTTGAACAACCCTCTTTTGTTTTTTTTCATAAGGCCTCTCTGAGGAAAAGGTCCTTGTGATGCTGATGCTTCCCGACATGGACATGGGACAGGCAGACCGCTGGGCACCTCCGCGGCGGCTGCGCAGGAGGTGGATGGCAGTTGCCCCAAGCCCCATACCCTAAACCCTAAACCCTAAACCCTAAACCCTAAACCCTAAACCCTAAACCCTAAACCCTAAACCCTAAACCCTAAACCCTAAACCCTAAACCCTAAACCCTAAACCCTAAACCCTAACACTAAACCCTAAACCCTAAACCCTAAACCCTAAACCCTAAACCCTAAACCCTAAACCCTAAACCCTAAACCCTAAACCCTAAACCCTAAACCCTAAACCCTAAACCCTAAACCCTAAACCCTAAACCCAAAACCCTAAACCATAACCCTAAACCCTAAACCCTAAACCCTAAACCCTAAACCCTAAACCCTAAACCCTAAACCCTAAACCCTAAACCCTAAACCCTACACCCTACACCCTACACCCTACACCCTAAACCCTAAAGCCTAAAGCCTAAACCCTAAACCCTAAACCCCGAACCCGAAGGAGCCAGAGAGCCTAAGAAGAGCAGAGCCCGCAGCCGAAACCCTGGGAAAGCCTTTTGTGCAGAGGACGCGAAGGCTGGAGCCAGCCCTCCAAGCGTCCCGCCCTCGGCTCGCCGAGGCTTTGGGTGTTCGCTTTCTGGGGTTTCGGTGCGCCTCCTTGAGGTTGGGGGGGGGGTGGGGGGGGTTTGGTAGGGGTAATTAGGGTTTCTTCAGGGTGGTTCTAGGGGAAGCTTACCGTAGATGGGGTTGTGGAGGGGGGATGGTGCAGCAGTTGTTTCAAGGCATTCCGCGTCAGGATTCAGAGGTTCCAGGGGCGAACCCCTCTGCCCCCCCCCAAAAGAACGCCTAAAGACTCCCTCACAAGAGCATCCCACCTGAGCTTGAGCTTCCCCGCTCCCAACCCGTTTCGGGTTAACTCCAAGTGCTTAGCTCGCAAGCCCCAACCTCTCCGAGCGGGCTTGACCCACTGGTTCTCGTTCCGTCAGTCCCGACTACATCATCCCCCTAGAAACCCTTCAAATGATTGTCTAGGGTACCTCATTCCCTCGCCCCCTACTATATGAAGCAGCTAGTTGAGGTGCCGTCCTCGGCAAAGGTTAGCAACGGGATCGATGGCAAGGTACAGCGAGGACCGGGCCTGGTATAGCTCGGGACCATGAAGCCTGACGCATCAAGAGCCCCGAAAACCCTTAATCCTAAAATCCCTGGACAAAAAACCCTGGACCCTAAACCATGATTCTTTGTGCCTTCAATCTGCCGCGGTGCACCTGTATGGCGGGCTCTCATGGAGAGTCTCCGGTCTTTTCTTGTCCTGAGCGGCTCCTATATCCCGCGAGCTGTTCTGATGACAGCCCTATGTTGGGGATCATGTTCATATCAAGAGATTTAGACTCGTACACCTTCGGTTTTACCCCTAAAGGTTCCACTTAGTATAGCCCCAAACCCAAGGGCACAGGGGTCAGAGTCCCTAAGCCCTAAACACTGAACCCTAAACCGTAGACCCTATGTTCAGAAGCAGCCCTAGATTGAAAAGATCATCACCCCGGAGTCTGACACTTTATGCCCGCTCGCGTGTGATCATTCCTGCTGACGACCCAGAGCAGGCCCTTATTCCCTTTTTTGGGGGTTTGGGTTCCCTGAGAAACCCCTGTATGAACCAAAAACGGTGCCCTTTTTCTACTGAGTCACGCAATCTGAGCGAGGTCGTCCAAGGTACGAGTTGGTAGATTGCTGTATGTCCTTGGCGCAGCGCGAAGGCTTTCATGGCGTTTTAAAGTGGACAAACGCCTCAAGCCCTGAGGGAAAAGTGATGCAAACATTGCGGGCATTGCTGTGTTTTGCAATAGTCTGATATATTCTGAAGTAGTTCGCTCGCAACTGTGGAAAGCTCGATCAACGTACCATCGTTCTTTGGTTTGCATCTCGCCTTGTTGTGTTTCTTGTGCATGATCACATCTCCTAGTCCCCGAAGTCCTCAGAAACTTCAACGATCCCAAGCCCCACTCCCGAATTCCCCACCTCCATTCCCTCCAAAATGCACCACGCATGAGCCCCGAAACCCTAAACCCAAAACCCTCAACTCCATATCCTAAACCCCCTTTGTGTCCAGGAGCCATGGTGCAGGCCTTCGCCTGGGGGGTTTTGGGGTTGGGGGTTGAGGGTTCGGACGAAGGTTCCCTCGAAGCCTTCTTGTAGGGTTTGGGGTTTAGGGTTTAGGGTTTAAAGTTTAGGGTTTAGGGTTTAGGGTTTGAGGTTTCGGGTTTAGGGTTTAGGTTTTAGGCTTTAGGGTTTAGGGTCTAAGGGGATGCACGTGGGCTCACGGTTGCGGAGAAGTGCCGTTCAGGGTTTCCGATTTTCCGAGGGGGGGGGGGAGGGGCAGCTCTCTAAATCATGGACCCTGTTTCTATAGTTTCCTGAGAAGCTGTGGACAAGACTTCTATAAGCCTTGTGCCTTGCAATCCTGCGCCCTGCCCTTGGCAGCTGAACATATCAGGCTGTCTTCTGTCGGGTTCGCACGCACCACCCAAACCCTAAATGCCCATTGAAGCCAGATCCCAAGCCCAAACAAGCTGAGCAACCCTGCTTAATCCTAAACCCTAAACCCTAAACCCTAAACCCTAAACCCTAAACCCTAAACCCTAAACCCTAAACCCTAAACCCTAAACCCTAAACCCTAAACCCTAAACCCTAAACCCTAAACCCTAAACCCTAAACCCTAAACCCTAAACCCTAAACCCTAAACCCTAAACCCTAAACCCCAAACCCTAAACCCTAAACCCTAAACCCTAAACCCTAAACCCTAAACCCTAAACCCTAACCCTAAGCCTAAACCCCTTACAGTGCCCCCAAGTGATGCGAGGTGGTCACGCAGCCGGCCGCGCCGCTGAGCTCGCCGCACGGGGCCTGGCGATGCAATTGTGTTTGAACCATGGGGGTTGTTGGGATGTTCCCCCTTACACTAACAGTCCTTAATCGGGATGATCATGGAGGTACTGTAATCCCTATAAAGGACTGTAAGTATAAGGGGGAACATCCCCAACATGGGGGGGTTGTTTTTAGCCACAGCGCCCCTTTTGGGAATCCATTCTGTACGGAGTCTGGCTCTCTCTGCTTTGGCAAAACCCCCCCCCCCTCCTCCCCACATCTTTCAGGTCGGTTGTCCTTTGACCCGTAAGGGTATGTATGTCCCAAAACAGGGGCACCCCTTTTGTACCCCAAATAGAATCGAATGCACTGAAGTGTAGCAGTACCTGGCTTCAGTGCTCGGACTTCGTCATGTCACCCTAAACCCTTAAAAATGGGTTGACTTCGGTACCCTGTCCACATCCTTCAGTCATGTGCTTCCTCTCTCTGAGGGAAGACTGGCCACTACCGGTGTCGCACGCTCCAGCAGGTGTTGGGGGGGGGGGGGGGTTTGGCCTTACGGTTTTGCATGTCGGGTTTCGGGCTAGGGCTTCAACCACTAGCCAAGCCCCTTGCCCTGCATCCTGTAGCCAAACTGAGCCTATGAAACTGTAAAGCCCGGAGCCCCAGACCATACAGTATGTGAGGGACAACTTTTTGTTAAGCTCGGTGTGGTGGAAGGGGCTTTCATATGAGAAGGCGGGACCACGTTAAGGCTCCATAGCTTCTCCAAAAGCCCTAGCCACCCTGCACCTCAACACCAAACCTTGAACAAATCTCAAGAGGCCCTGAAGAACCCAAGCCACCGAGGTCTAACGTCCCAACCAACAGGTCATCACGGAATTTTGGGGCGACTCCGACCTTCTTAAAACAAGACGAGTGCAAGAAAGTCATTGGGGTTCAGGGCTTCGGGGCGAGGATTCAGGGCCTTGGGGGCTGGAGAAACCCGAATACGATACCCGATGACCTTAATACCCCAATGCCCGAATGCCCCAATACCCTACTGCCCCAATACCCTAGTACCCTCGTACCCTAATACCCTACTACCTGTTACCCAATTGCCCTATTACCCTAATACCCTACTACCCCAATACCCCAATACCCTAGCACCCCAAACCCGAATGAACGGAAGAGGCACGCCGCCGAGGGCGCCGGCGCTGAGCTCGAAGTCACCATCGGTCCATGCCCCGGGGGCCCCAAGGGCAAAACTCATGTAGGCTTTAGGCTTTAGGCTTTAGGCTTTGGGCTTTCGGGTTGTAGGGTTTTAGGGTTTTAGGGTTTTAGGGTTTAGGGTTTTAGGGTTTTAGGGTTTTAGGGTTTTAGGGTTTTAGGGTTTTAGGGTTTTAGGGTTTTAGGGTTTTCGGGTTTTAGGGTTTTAGGGTTTTAGGGTTTAGGGGGTCTTAAGCGGGGTGTGCCTTTCGGGTTTTCATGGGTGTTGCGGTCGTGTACTATGCGCGAGTCAGACTCATGCTTTCGGGGGCCTCCATCTGTTTTTGCTTTTTAGTGCTTATATGGGCTCTTGTCCACAGCTTTTCTTTCTTCCTTGGGCCGAAGGTTTAAGGTTAGGGACGTTTTCGAGTTTAGAGTCTTTGTTCATCAGGGTTTAGGGGATTTTAGGGTTTATGGCGGCTAGGATTTAGGGTTTTGTGGGTAGGGTTTTGTGAAGACGGAACCTGAGCCCCTAGGCCACCAGTGCTCCCGTGCACCGGCCGGCCAGTGACACGGGCAGAAGAGAAGTCTGGGTGGCAACCTCGGCTCAGCCCGGATCTTGCTGTTGGATAGTCGGGGTTTAGGGTTTGGGGTTTAGGGTTTAGGGTTTGGAGTTGAGTAGGATCGTATCATCCATTCTTTCATTCCCCGCTGGACCCTAAAGAACATAGCTGAGAAGAGCTCCACTGAACCCGCTTCTTGCTTTGGGGGTTTCGGCCGTCGTCTTAGTAAGCCCGAAGCCACCCCTCTAGCACCCGAAAGCCCAAAAAAAGGCGCAGGCCCCGCCTTTGGCGAGGCCCTGTGCCCCGGGTTGGGAGTGTCGCGGCCTTGGTGTGCCCGCGTCTGTCGCGGGGGGGGGGGGGGGGGGGAGGGATTTTTGCTTCGTTCAGAGGCTATTCTGGGAGGCAAGGGGCAGCTTTGTAACCCTGAACCCTACTGTGAACCCTAAACCCTAGACCCTAACCCGAACTTGTAAACGTGTTCAGGTGCCGGGGATTGCTTGAAAATCCTTGCCTTGAGCTCCTCTAATTGGGCTCAAAGGCTTGTGGGGGGTTTTGCTGAACCCGAAGCAACTTCCCTGAAGCCTTTGGGTCATTCCTCCTTACAGCAACAGTTGCCACAATAAGTAGTCGGAGAGTTCTCAAGGGTTTACGAAAGAAGGGGCCCTTAGTATAGACCCCCAAATAGTAGGATTCCTCGATAATAACAAGAGCCCCTTGTAAAGATCCTGTTTCTGTAGGTGGGGAAACGACGCAGCTGAAGCAAGAAGTGTCCTTGTCAGGAACTGGTAAGAAGTCTGACATAGGGTTAAGGGTTTAGGGTTGCCCAAAATAAGTACGTACAGAAGGCCTCAAACCTTAACCCCGCAAACTCCCCAAACCCCTTGTGCGCAACGAGGAGCCAGATCAGGGCAGGCACAGCTGCCCTCAGCCATAAAGTTCAGAGATCCTGTAAACCTCCAACCTCCCCGACACGGTTTAGGTTTCGAAGTTCATTTAGGAGTCAAGCCTTCATCAATGAACCACCAAAGCACCTGAAACACACCAAAGCTCCGAGAAGCTCCTACACCCTGAGCACAGTGAGGCCTTCGTCTACACGGCTGCAATTTGGGATGTTCCCTCCCTCATACTATGCTTGCAGTCTTTAATGGGGATTATATAAAAGGGCGGGGGTACTATCATCCCCATGCCATTAAGAGCTGTGAGTAAAAGGGGGTACTCTATTCCTTATTAAGAGCTGCTAGTATAAGGGGGTGCTATAAGGAACATCCCAAGCTACGGCAATCCTGGCAGCGGTCTCTCGTGTGGATCCTCTTTCGTCCCGCCTCGGAATGTCCATCCCGGAACGCTCAGTCTATTAAACCCCCATGCCCACCAAACAACACCAAACGCCTGAGAGCACAACCCCTAACCCCGAAACCCGAAACCCTAAACCCCAAACCCTAGGTGAGATAGCTCCAGCGCCGGTGGGCGTTGCGCGGCCACCGTCGGACCTCCACGCGGTATAAGCCGGGCCCACAGGTCCAGGTACTATAGGGGTTTAGGGTTTTAGGGTTTAGGGTCTAGAGAATAATTACGAAGAGTCTTCCCTTATGGTCCCTTTATAAACAACCCCCCCCTCCCCCCCCCCCCCCCCCCCCCCCCCCAAAAAAAAAAACCTATTCCAATTACTAAGGCCCCTATATTACTATATTAGGGTTCGAGGTTTGTTCCTAAACCCTGAGCCCTGAACCCCAAACCCTCATACCCTCTTTCCCTCCTTACAGACCCGGCAATCTTCAGCAACGACGCATCGTGCTCGCAAGCTCGGTGTTCTCATTAGTTCGGAGCCGTTGACCCGAAAACCCTAAGACTAGGCCCCTAAAACCCTGAACCGGAGTGGCTTCTCGGCTTATTGGCTTATCGGCCTTGGGTTGAGGGTTCATCCTTCAGGCTCTACAAATCGACCAGCCGTTGATGGCATAATCAGCTCCCGTCTGGTACCCAGCCCGTGGTGGCTCTCGTCACATGCTTCACACGGTTCTGCCATATCTTTGGAAGCTGTCCACGAGGTTTTTGGTGACCTCAAGTTTCCAGTGTCCCTGCCATGTGCTTGCTGCGCTACCCAGTAGCATGTATTCGCTTCGCGCATTCACCAGTGATACGGTTCTTGGTACCTCGTTGCTCCTCAAAGGTGTGTTTTTCACAAGGCAACTAAGCTTTGCAAATGGTTTCTTCGAAGGGTGCTCTGTTCCTCGTCATGGCCAGTCTGAAACGCACACGCCGCGGTGTTTTTTGAAGTAGCCATGCGTTGCAGAACGTGCTGACTGGAAAATGTTCAGGGCTGGGACTTTTTCCACCAGTGACATGAATGATTGCTGCTACTCCGCATGCTGCACTCTCTTTACAAGCGCAGACACAAGCACGATGCTCGCAGATTCGGAATAGGAAGCCGTGCATGTTGTGAATTTGTTGTGACGTTGTCTCGCAGTTGTCTTCTTCCATGTTGTGCAGTCGTGGTGAGGCATCAGCCATGGCTTGTTGTAGGTCTATGGTTGAAGCTGTCAATGGGGCCGACCTTTCCCTCGCAAGCCCCTGAGATGGTAAAGAAAGGCCCGCCTGCCCCTCTTCCTTTGCAAGCCCCCTTCTCAGGTAGCGCCTGCTTAGTTCATGGCCAAAGCGTAACCTCAGCAGGGGTTGGGGAAAAGTTGTTGGGGCCACCAAAAGCGTTGGAGGAGGAAAAGAAACCTTTCGGGGCTATGATACAGCCCGAGATGGAGGGAAAACAAGCAAAGAAATGTAAGCTTTTCGGGGACAATCAATCGTTTCCAAAATCACCGTTAGTCGCGTTGCAAGGCTCCCCAAAACCCTTTTGCCGCGCTGGAAGCTCCGTGCCGAACGTCACAGCCACGCCATAGCACTTCGGCCTGAGGCTTCCAACAGAGCCCGAAACACACGCATTTAGCTCGAATGCCTGAGCCTTCGCTTGGGGTTTTTCGGCCCAGGACTGCAACTATCAGCGTTCCAGGGGTAGTCATGGGACGTCGGGCAAAAACTCATCAAGCACCCTTCCTCATGCGTGGGCAGCAGGTGTGTGGCTGTCATATGGGGTTTCTGAAAATGAGAGGTCCCCTTCTATGGAGTCCTCTTAACAGACTCTAACAGGGTTATAGTATCTTGTGATGCGAAATGCCCTTATGTTAAACTAGGGCTCCTGGTTTGATTTGTGAGGGTTTAACCCGAAACCGTAAACCTTAAACCCTAAACCTTAAAACCCAAACCCTCAAACCCTAAGCCCTTGTTAGCTCGTCAACACCAGCCCTGCGCAACTAGCACCAGCACGCTTCAAAACCAGAGAACCGGTGCCCCCCAAAATACTCCAAGATATCCTATGAACCCCAATTAGGGTACCCCCTTAAGGTATACGTTCAGGTTACAGGTCTCCCTCAGGGTTTTCCTTCTTCTTTTGAACGTTCCGTCCAGGTGTCGTTTGTTTCCACCAGGCGCTGAGAATGAGCTCTGTTGAAATCTCCAGACGGGGTTAACGTCTCAGCGCCCGGGTTGCTGTTCGAAGCACGGGCCAAATGTAGGCCCCGAGCCCTCAGCCCCTTGGAAGCTTCCGGATGTGTGAACTGGCCACCAAATTCCGAAGACCTCCCAAGAAGCTCAGGGAAGAGGCCAGTGTTCTGGCCAGTTTTGGATTGGGGTCCTCGGGTTAGGCCATCAGCTTTACGGAGTTTCAGTCCAGCCTGTCTTGCCCAAGACCAAGCAGCCCTCAGCCCTCAGCCCTCAGCATTGTAACAGCAACCCGCACTGAGCGGGCAGTTTCCCTCGTCGACTCGTAGATTGGCACCGCTTCCCAAAACGGCCCCTGGCTTAGAGTTATCAGCTCCATGCCACCTCCTAAACTCCAAGGCCCCGAGCCACTTGGGAAGCCTTTGCATCTACCCGGAACCAGGGAAACTGCCTGTAGCACGCATTCGCGCAGGAGGGCATGCCTTTGTGTGCAGGACTCGCATGCCAGGGCATGCAACAGCACCTTGAACCCTGAACCCCAAACCCTGAACCCCCCAAACCCTGAATCGCCAAACCCTGAACCCGCAAACCCCAAACCCCAAACCCCAAGCCCCAAACCCCAAACCCCAAAGCCTAAACCCTAAACCCTAAACCCGAAAGCCCTAAACCCCAAACTCGGTCCGTAAACCCTGAAACCCTGAGCCGGGGGGATGTCCTCCTCCGTCTGGTTTCCAATGATCCCCGCAGTGCAAAGAACTGCGCGACGTGGTACACCGCAAATTACAGCAGCAAGAGAAGCGGCAGCTGGTTTCCACTGTTGGTGACTCAACAGGGCCTATTTTTTTTGTTTTTTCTTTGGGGGGTGGGGTTCAGGGTTTTAGGGTTTTGGGGGGTTTTAGGGTTTAGCTTTTGTTAAAGCGTGTCTTGGGTTTTTTTTGGGGCTTTCAGGGTTTGTTAGAGTTTTTGGGGGCTCCTGAACCTGCGCTGCATCACGGACCAGGACTCACAGGGCAGGGTTGCGAGCTCAAGGTAGACCAGCCCGAAGTAATCTAGGGGCCGGAAGACTGTACGAATAGTCTAATAGTGTTCCCTATGGTCTCTACATGAGTTTACTCTAAGAGCCCCCAAAAACTTTATTCTAATGATGAGGGCTAATGGTCTAATAGTATATCCCCCCTAAACCTCAAAACCTAAACCCTAAACCCTAAACCCTACAACCCTAAACCCTAAACCCTAAACCCGAAAACCCTAACCCTAAACCTGTGGTCCTCATATCAGACCCCGAAGCATGCTTTTGTGTCGGTTGGGGTTTACTTATCCAGGGACCAGGAGAGACCCTAGAAGGGACCTTAATCTTGTTCCCCCCATATAACCCCTATATACAGCTATATGTATATATATATATGTATATATAGATATAGATATAGATATGGATATAGATATAGATATAGATATGTATATAGATATAGATATAGATGTAGATGTAGATGTAGATGTAGATATAGATATAGATATGTATATATATATATATATATAGAGCTATATGTATATACACCTTATATAGTCCCGATATTCCTAAGTACCTAAGGCCCCTTACAAGGGTCTCTCCTGCAGTCCCTTCAACTTAGGGCTTAGGGCATCCAGGGCCCCCCTAAAAGGCTTCAATGTTCCTCATCTTCGGCATGACTCGCAACGTCGAGCCCTCGACCCCCCCGAAACTCAATTCATTGCGGTTTTTTGGGGGGGTTTCGGGCTTAGGAAGTCTAGGAGGCTTAGGGTTAGGAAGTCTAGGAGGTTTTGGGTTCAGTGCACCACTGTAATCCCGCATGTCAAGTCAACCGACAGGGATATCAGTGGGTGGACGGCCCCGGAGTGCCTCGGCTGCAGGGGGGAAGGGCCACAAATGGCACTCCTACAGAAAAGCCTCTGACTTATAGGACCCTAGGACGCTGACTCCCCCCAACCCTTTAAACCCGTCAGACGAAGGCCCCCATGCCGCTGACTCCCGTCCCGCCAAGAAAAAACGGAACTCGCGTTGGATTCAAGTTTGTCCTGCCAGGGCCGGGTTCAGGGCCAAGCGTAGTATTGTTAGTGGTGTCTTTCTGGGGTAGTATCTTCAGCTTGTCCAGCTCAGCAAGCTAACAGCGGAGTCGGCCAAAACTTTAGAGCATTAGCCTACGGGGGAAGTTGTCAACCCCTTTGCTGCCGAGGAGTGGACCTGAAACCCTTATTGCAAGCCCAGTGCAGCCAAGGCGCAGCCCCCACAGCAGCCGGCACCGCCGCCGCAGGTGCTTCTTGCGGGTCGAGTGGTGTTATCTTCTTGGTGGGTTCCGATATTTGGTGTTTAGGGCCCTCTAAGGAGCCCATGCATCCTGAAACCCCATAAGCCCCAAATCCCCAGTCCTGCTAAGAACCCCAAAGCTCCCCAAACATCCCGAACATCTCCAACCGTCCTCCTCCTCCCCCCCCTCCCCCCTCAAAAAGAAAAAGCTAGAATAATAGAAAACAAAAGTTACAAAATGCACCTAACACCCCAGAGCCCTGAGTCCTCCGTCCTCTGTTCCGTCATCCCAGGCGCCTCCCCAACCTGGAGGAGTTCCCATGTACGGAATGACCCAGGCCCAGGTGCGACCGCGAGGAGGGCTAATATGGGGGTCGGAATATTTGCTACTAGTATTGCCTTATGGTTCCTTTAGAATCCGACTAGAATAACCCCCAAGACCCTATTCTAATTCTTCAGGCCCGTGTAGTAGGCGGTCTCAGGGGTCTTAGGGCAAGCTGTCTTGCAAAGGGGCTTTGGGGGCTTTTAGGGGATTTTGGAGGATTTTGGGCCCTAACTAGGCCCCGAGACCTACACTGCTCGGGGTGTTTGGGTGTCCCTGGCGCAACTTCTTGGCTCCCGCAAGATCGAGCACGCGTCGTGTAGGCTGTGCGGGTTTAAGGCGGATGATTCTACATGTTTCCTATTGCAGCTCAACCCGGCCCTGGCCGCCCTCTGATCAACCAACAGGCCCGTAACTCCATAAGGGAGTTTACGCAAATAGGGGTCCCGAACATCGACCCCCAAGTAGTAGAATCCCCTTGCAATAAGGGACCCCAAATATCGGAACCGCTCCAAGTCGTGTTTAGGGTTTAGGGTTTAGGGTTTAGGTCAGCTCTTCTCTGTCGCAGGCTGGCACGCAATGGGTCGACAACCCGAACCCACCACCCGTTCAAGACATGGCCAGAACGCCGAGCATGCTTTTGGCGAGGGAGCTGTTTAGGGTTTAGGGTTTCGGGTTTGGGGTTTAGGGTTTCGGGTTTAGGGTTTAGGGTTTCGGGTTTAGGGTTTCGGGTTTAGGGTTTAGGGGTTGGTGCCCTGTGAGAGGTCAGGGCTTCCAGACTGCCATGAATAAGCTAGGTAGGGTGCTGGGACATTCTATGTTTTCCCTCATTGGGTTTAAGAGGATCATCCTTAACATTTCTCAGAGGCTTCAAGGGGCCATCCTAGAAGAGGTTTGAGAGCTTCTGTGACTTTATCGTGTGCGAGGTGTCGGGGTTTTCCTTTGCGCGCCGGCTTTCCGAAGAAGGGCTTCTTCGGCAAGCCGTCCCCCCCCAAACAACCACCCACAGCCAATTCCAAGGCTAAACCCTAAAACTTGGGATGTACCCCCATACACTAACAGTCCTTAATAGGGACTATAGTAACCCTAATCCCAATTAAGGACTGTTAGGAAAAGGGTGACCATCCCAACCCAAAAACCCTAAACAGTTACACCCCAATCCAACCTCGTGGCTGCCCAGATTGCTAAATTCATGGAGCCGTGGCTACAAGCATTCCTGATTGAAGCACTCTCCAACACCTAGTGTACAGGGATGCCCCGCAATACCCTTGTTTCTGAGTGGTTATGTTGGGGCTAGGGTCAGGGCTTTGGTTTGTTTTAGGCAAAAGCTCGATTTCTTGACCTAACTTAGGTCTACCAGTGGGTCGACAGCCCGTCCTACGGACGACCACCGGCGGCTGCTGCCCACCCGCAGCCCTACGTGCAGGCAAGCGTTGCGGCCTCGCTGGTCGGTCAGGTGTAAGTGGGGATAGAGACATGGTCCGGCATCGTTACACCCTCCTTGCAGGCTGTTACCATAAGGGGGGTATCCATAGAAGCTGAGGCCAGAGCCCTTTCGGCGCATCCCTAAGATTCGGGATTCGGGGGGTTTTCCTCTGGGCTTCAAGGCTTCGGGCCTGCGACTCTTGGAGCCCAAAAAGGCCGAAGAAGCCCCCTAAGGCCCAAGAACACCCCCACGCGGGCCTTCCCAAAACCCTCGAGCCCTGAGCTTTTGGGGAAGTCCGGCTGAGGGAAGGCCGAAGAACCTAAGAGACCTCCATGCCCTGAACCCCGAACCCCCGAAGGCACTGTGCAGACTGCCTCCCAAGTCCCTCTGCCAGGCGGCGCCGGCGAACCCGTACTACCCAGGCCGATGCAGATTTGTTTTGGGGGCAAAGCCTTAGCATGTCAGAATCTTGAATTCTGCCCCCTCCCCACCCCCCTTCAGGGTTGTGAGAGGCTGGCTGTTGGTTTTGCAGGGCCGTCGCGTTTCTGGCTGGGCATTTTCAGTCGCACACAAGACTCTCTTGCGTACGTGGGCAGTCAAAACTTCCCCGCCCCGAGCCCCCCCAAGCTAAACTCTAGATCCAGACACCCCACAACCCTGGACCGCGAGGTGTGGATCCTGCATACGGTGGGCCACCGCGCCCCATGGACCGTTGTGACAAGGGTTTGGGGTTTGGGGTTTTGGTGTTGCTGTTTCGGAATGGGGGTTCCGGAGCCCGGAGCAGAGAATTTGGGGGAGCTCCTCCAGAACCTTTGGACTGTTCTCAGAATTATGGTCCATTTTTTGGTTACCTTATACAGCAGCAATCCCAAAAAGGACCATTATGTGGAGTAGTGGCCATATCGCAAGCTTCTTCCAGAAGGCGTCAGGCTTTTGCGGTCGAGCGCCTCATTGGGCCGTTGGAGCTTTTGGGGGGGGGGGGTTTAGGGTTTAGGGTTTAGGGTTCGGGGTGCCAATCCGGTGCCTGAAGACGCCGCACCCAGGCTCGCTCCAAAGCTCCGCGCAGGGTTCAGGGCTTCGGGTTTTGGGTTAATTTAGGGCTTAGGGTTTAGGGCTTAGGGTTGAGGGTGCCGAAGCTCTACACTGAAACCCGAAACTTGAACCTCAAGCCAGCCAACCACGAGGACCCCATGCTGGGGCAACCGGGCATCGACCCCTTGCGACCACCTGTGCAGGCACCAGACTCGTGTAGGCTTTCGGGTTCAGGGGTTTGGGCTTAGAGCTCAAGGCTTTTGGCAGGGCCGACTTTCCTGGGACGAGTTCAGGTTTCGGTTGCTCTGGGGGGGCGAGTCCTTGCCCCCGAAGGCATGGCAGCTGTAGCAGCAATAGGCCCAAACCTCGCGAGACCCTACATGAAACAGGGTAAAAACCCATGTAGTTACTTGTGAGTGTATATAGGGCCCCCCTTGTATTGGTGTCTCTATTGGGTGTCCTCTTCGGGATGCCTTAATCCCCTCAACCCCTCATATTACCCCCCTAGCCCCTACCCCCTAATAGAAAACACGCCCCATACACTCATAAAATATCCATAAGGGCAGCATGTCATGTTGGGGGGTGTGGGGGGGGTGTTTATACTAGGGGGAGGGGACATAAACCCGTCAACCCTCAACCTTCCAGCCCTACTTCCCTAAAACCCGAAAACCCGAAACCCCTGCCGCAAACGCCTTGCAGCCGCCCCTCAGGGCTTGGACCCCATTGCTGCCCAATACCAGGCTGTGCAGGGTTGGGGGGTTTTAGGGTTTAGGGTTTGGGGTTTTAGGGTTTGGGTTTTCAGGGTTTGGGGTTTAGGGGGCAGGGGCGTTTGGGACTTGGGATGGTGTAAGGGGCTTGAGGGGTTTAGGGCTTTGTATGCTCGGGCATATTGTGCAGAGATTGGTAGTTCAGGGGGTTTCGTGGGTCGGTGAGGGTCAACACTGCTTTTAGTCAGGATTCGGGCTTCTGGGTTTGGGCTACAGGGGGTTTAAGAGCTTCGGGGCTTAGGGCTTTTGAGGGAGTCGGAGCACTGGTGTTCGTATCCCTGTTTGGGTGGAAGGAAATTATGTCACAAGGTGGCCCTGTCATGACACGGTATGCTTCTTCCCGGCCTTTGAGGGCTTCAGGCGTAACGTTCGCTACGACATCGGTGAAGGGGCCGAGATCCTGACTTGTAGGATATGAAGTCGTGTTGGAGCATTCGTGATGTCTGTTTCAAGTTCGCATTGTGATCCTGTTGGTTCCTCTCTGTTTCAGTCCAATGTGTACCATCGGCTTTATGGCCCGCCACGCTGGCCTTATTGCCTGTGGACACCGTACCGCGCAAATTCCGGATGCAGCCTGAACCCGAAACCCTAAACCCTAAACCCTGAACCCTAAACCCTAAACCTAAACCCTAAACCCTAAACCCTAAACCCTAAACCTAAACCTAAACCCTAAACCCTAAACCCTAAACCCTAAACCCTAAACCCTAAACCCTAAACCCTAAACCCTAAACCCTAAACCCTAAACCCCGAAAATCCCGGACGTGGGAGGCGGGACTCGCCCACTACGGGGCCCCGCCGGATGCCAGCCGCTACGCACACCCACAGGCACCAAGCACCCGGCCCCAAGCGTGCATTTTGGGGTTCAGGTGGCTTAGGGCTTTGTAAGGTTTTTTGCCGCCCCCAATCCCCAAGCCCTAAGCCTTGTAAGGTTAGGGCGAGTATGAACCCCAAAACCGCAGAGTGCGGCTTCGGTTTCAGGGCTCGGGGTTCAAAGTTCAGGAGGGCAAGGGCTTCGGCCACAGCTTCGAGACTGTTATAGCATGCACCCTAAAGATTCGCCGCGTGAGCTATCGGATGTTCGGTAGCCTGGGGGTGGATAGCACCTACTCTCCTAATTCCCTCAGCTGCAACACCTCAAGCCAGGCGGGGATGGCGCCTCCCTACGCGCCAAGGTGCCCCGGGGGGGGGGGGGGGGGCTTTCCTTCGTAGGCAAGGCTTGGGGGAAGTTTGGGGAGAAGCTGAGGGTCGAGGGTGCCGAAGCCCTAAGAAACCCCGAGCCCCTTGCAGCTGTTGACGTGCGCGTGCCGTCTTCTGTCCTCTTATGTGGTGGTTGCCGCTTCTCCGTCTTGGAAGTGTCAAGTCAAGAGGTCAGAGGGGTCTTTGAACTTGGAGCTTCGGAGCTAGAGTCCAACAATATGACTACATATGATTCCTCAGCTACACTTAATCATAGGGTTCAGGGTTTAGGGTTTAGGGTTTAGGGTTCAGGGTTTACATTATCATATACTCAGGGCTTGTGGGGCTTCAGGTTGTCATGGTTTGGAGGCACCTCGGCTGACAACGATTTCGGGTTTCGGGAGCAACCCGAACCTAAGGGGCCCTGAGGGGGTTAGGGTTTGGGGTTTAGGGTTCAGGGTTCAGGGTTTAGGGTTTAGGGTTTAGGCTTTAGGCTTCAGGCTTTAGGTTTTAGGGCTTAGGGTTTAGGGTTCAGGGGGCACATATCTTGGAAGTGAGGCAGCCGCTGGGAATGGATGACCTGACCTCGATTCGCCGGGCTCCTGGTGCCCGGGGACAAGGGTTTAGAGTTTAGGGTTTAGGGGGCAAGGGTTTAGAGTGTAAGGTTTTAGGGCTTCGGGCTGTGAAGGTTGATAGGGTCTATGGGGCCCAGCGGTTCATTTGCTTAGGTCTGTCGATTGTAGGCCCCAAGCCCCGAACTGTGCATGGAGTCAGGAGAACGGCTTTGGAGTGAGGAGCTGGTTCAGCTGAGAGATTCAGATGATAAATCCCAGGGCTGAGGCCCAAAACCTCCGAGCCACCTCCCAGGAATGGGCGGCAAGGGCATGCCAGGTGGAATGGACGCCTACGGACAGGCGCGCCTATATCAGAGGGGTTGAGGGGTTGAGGGGCTTCGGGGCTTCGGGGCTGAGGGGTTGAGGGGCTCCTCTTCGTCGCATGTCTATCAGCCTCGGCTCCAAAAGTCTTCGGATCTCGACACACAGCCCTCAAAGCATCTCACTCCAAACCCGGACTTCGCTTGTCAAGTGCCAAGTGGAGGTCCAAGAATCCTCTCAAGCCACCACACGTTGCGTTGCACACCACTACGTTTTGCTTGGTTCAGCCAAGTCTCAGTGGAGCATGTTGTTGCACCTGACACTTCATCGCATGACAAGCCGCCAGACATGGCATCACAACTCACCCAGAGCAGAGCTTCACCACGTCTCATCGCTTCCCCAGCATAGCAGCACAAAACAGAAGGGAAGGGCACCTCTGCACTTCATTGCCGTTGAGAAAGCAAAGATGCCTCGGCCATGCACCACCTCTGGGTTCAGGAGGTTCGGGATTAACGTTCAGCATGTCAGCGCTCAGGGTTTGGGGGGTTCAGGGTTTTGGGGTTTGGCCAAGACTCTTGAGCCTCAGGCCGGCTATGGCTACGGCCACGACCAAGGCTCCGCGTCTTGGGAGAGTTTTGGGAGGTTTGGGCTCAGTTCGTGGGTTTGGGTTTAGGCCAGTTTAGGAGCTCTTGGGTAGGATCAGATGAAGTTCGGGGCTTAATTATGTGTTTAAAGGAGAGAGTGATTTCATTCGGGGCTTCATATGTAGAGGTTACTGGGCCTCGCAGATTTGGCTTCAGTCCAGGGTTGCGGCTCCTGGTTCTGCCCTACAGCCCTAGGCCCTAAACCCCGAGCCCGAACCCTACGCCCCTAAGCACCAAACCCGAAGCCTGAGCCATTTTTTTTCTGGAGGCGCACATGCCTGCACCGGGCGTTGCTACTTTCAACATCCACCCGGATAGACCCCAATCCCCGCCTTGCAGGGTGTTTAGGGGTTAGGGTTCAGAGTTTTGGGTTCAAGGATGAGGGTTTGGGCATTCGAGTTGGATCCTAGAAGGGTGCTTTTGCAAGCTCGCCGTGCTCTTACGGTTTCGCTGAGCCCTGGAGGATCTCCTTCCGGCCTCTTGTGTTTGAGCCGCCCGAAGCCTACCTCTTAGAACTTCATCTGGCATCGTTTTCCCACAAGACGCAACCCTGGACCGAGGGGCTTGAACCCTAAACCCTCAACCCTCAACCCCAAACCCTAAACCCTAAACCCTAAACCCTAAACCCTAAACCCTAAACCCTAAACCCTAAACCCTTAACCCTTAACCCTTAACCCTCAATCCCAAACCCTAAACCCTCAACCACAGAGAACTCAAAGGGTTTAGGCTTTACCGTTCCGGAACCTCACAAACCCTAGAGTCCGCCCCAGAGCTCCGAGCTGCGGGGGTTAGGGTTTGCGATGTAGGGTTTGGGGGGTCGCTTAGGGGTCAGGGTTCAGGGGCTTAGGGTTTGGAGTTTAGGGTCTAGGGGTCAGGGTTCAGGGGCTTAGGGTTTGGAGTGTAGGGTCTAGGGGTGTGGAGTTTAGGGTTTTACTACCTCTCGGGGCCAGGCAAGCGCGGCCACGCTGGAAAGGGGTCGGGGGCCCCATTTTTGAGGAATTGAGCCTTTCAGGGTTTCGGGCTTTTGGTACCCTGAGCTCCTGAGAACCCAAAACGTATAAGCTCCCAAGACCTAAGACGTAAACCTTGAACCATCGCAAGAGAGCCGAACAGGATTTAGGATTCGGACTTTGTTATTTGACAGGCTTGAAAGGCCGGCTCCGCCCTCTGAGCTCTCGTTCGTCAAGTTGCCGACGGATCATGCCCACATGGACCCTCTTCAACAGACGACCTCGGCAGTTTGTGCCCTTTCTCTTTATCCTTTTTCATGGGGCTGGGGCTCGTCTGTCAGGGTGGTTGGGAAGCGGGTTTAGTTTTGGGCCTTCAGGCTTGGTTCTTGGGTTGTGGTCTCGGGGGAAAGGGACACCCTCAGGCCTCGAGTTGACCTTACTGGGCTCAGGGGTCACCTGCTAGGTTTCCTTCCATCTATCGGCTTGCTGCAGTTCCGGTCATCGAAGCTTGTGGGGGGGGGGGGGTGCTTGAAAGGCATGCCTCGTGTGAAGCCCCGAGCTGAGGCAAAACGGAGCGCGGGGCCAGAGGCAAGTCGACGACGGGCCCCGGTCCCAGAGACCCGAAGGAGCTTTGGGGGATGCTCGAAGTTTTGGTGCGCTTCTTGGGCTTCCACTTCCTGTGCTTCTTGGGCTTCCCACTATCATGTTCGCATTTTTTTGAAGATAGGGGTACACATGCAGCAATAGGTGTCTTGCCCTTGCGTTTCGGAGCTTGCGGGGGTTTGGGAGTTCCGATACCCGGCTTCCAAGTGGAAGTACCTAGCATCATCTGGGCCCGTAAAAAGAGGGCTTGAGCCTAGTATACAGAAAGTATACATGAACAAACAGAATAGAAATCGATCTTTACAGATACAGGTGAACGTCAGGATAAATGTGACTACATGAGAGTCAGCAAAGAAAACATACATGCAAATAAGTCAATCAAGATCGACGTCACAAAATGGAAACCAGCACAAATGTAGCTAAACCGTATCATGTCAGCAACAAATCTAAGTCGTAGCCACAAAGTAGATTAAACAAGAAACATCAGTGTGAGTACACATATGCTCAAGAGAAATACAAGCAACATGAAATAAGTACATGTCAGAATAAGCCGATAAGCATAATATATGTATACTTATACATATACATATACATATATATCTATATCTATATCTATATATATATATATATATATATATTTCACATAGGGGTTGTATAGGTCGGTGCGAACCAGGCAAGTTCAAGGATCCCTGAGCCCTTTTGCCCCTGCCCAAGGCGCGCCAAAGGGCGCCAGGCAGTTCCTCCTGGGCGACAGGCCCGGTTTAGGGTTTAGGGTTTAGGGTTCAGGGTTCAGGGTTTGTGGTTCGCGGTTTGGGAGTTAGGGCTGAAATGCCCCCGGCCCTGGACCGGACCCTAAACCCCATCCCTGCAGATCATCGGGTGGGAGGTTGCAGGACGTCACCTGAGGCTTTGTTTCGAGACCCAAAATGCATCAACACGGTCTGGACCCGGGGCATGGATTCGCAGATCTTGAAGTCGACCTGGTGATCCCAGTAGTGTCATCCATACCCAGCCTTATTATCCCCTTCTGGGGAGTAGCTCCCACCAAAAATTGGCGAAGGGCACCCTGTGCATTCCTTCGTTACTAACGGAGCCCATCTGCAGAGAGCAAGCAGTGGCAGGTGGACGTGGGCAGCAAGGGGCAAGCCTCTGGTGTGGACCTACAGGGCCAAGCGGCGCTCGAGCAGCCCTCGCGCACTTGAGGGTTTTTTGGGGAAGTGGGCTCTCTCCTCGTACTTGACTTGAGTAATCCTTTCCGCTCGTAGTCGCAGGCCCTTTCGGGCCCCGCAACTTACACGCGCCCTTGAACATATGCCCTGGAAATCCATGGAAGAAGCAAGGGCCCTCCTCTGAGCCAGGAGCCTTGGCCCAGAAGGACTCCGCCAGATGCTCATCTCGACCCTCGAGTCTCTGTACCAGGACACGGTTGAGGGTCGAGGATGTTTTGGCGAAGGGTTCTGGTGTTTTCAGGGTTTACATGGGCCTGTCGTGCGTTCCTAGTCCATGCTTCAGCGTTTTCAGACTGGTGTTGTAGGCGTTGACAGGCTTTACGCGAGCAGGTTCGCGATGCGAGCTTCAGGGAAAGATTAGGCACCTAAACTGCCCTAATTATGCAGGCATGCTGACCCTAGTCCCAACCCTTCAAGCTACGGGGGGTAGGGTGCGCTCCGGGCCCTTCTTTTGCCTTTCATACGGCTAAGAGGTGCCCTTTGTGGGGAGGTTTGACCTGTGTGAGAAATGGGGCGTTTAACAAACTCCAGCGGATGGCGGATGCCCCTCAGTGATCCCTGCCTGAGGGATGGCAGAGTTTTGTTTTGGAACTGCGGAGGCTCTTGGCTGTCCAACCCGATAAAACTTTTAGCTTCAGAAAAACGTGTTGTCCAAGAGGACCCGCGATGAACTTAAATCCGAAACCCTCAACCCTTCGCGGCCCTGAATTCTTCTTTGGCGACCACCCCAACACCAGAAGGACACACATGGCTCTGCGCATGCCTGATGCTCTAGCTGTTGGCAGGATCGCATCAAACCGATGGCCAACTACATCAAGGGCCGATTGAAAGAGAGGCCGGGAAGCTTGAGAGGGCTTCTTTGGGGGTTTAGGGTTTAGGGTTTAGGGTTTAGGGGAGTAGGGTTTCGCCGCGGGGGTCGGTCGCAGCATTTGGTTTCACCCGGGATCCATAATGTGAAGGTTGTGAACCGAACCTTCAAGGCGTGGGATTCCTTGTAGACGGGGCCCTCCGAAGAGGGGGCACCCGAATTGAAGAGTCCTATATCGGCTGCCTAGCAGCCGGCCCTCGCTCCTTCCAAGGTCCGTGCCAGATATCATTGTGAAATCGTTTGAAGACTTGTACACGCAGCACCCGGACCTCTTCGACGTCGGGGACCCCGGAGTCATGGTAGGGCAGAGCAGCGTGAGCAGGAGCATTTTCGGAGGTGGCCAGGGTTCGGTTTGTCGTTGCCGGTCTGTTCCGGTTCGTTGACCGTTTTTGATTTGGACGGTACGCTTCCACGGATGCTTCTGGGAGCGACAGCTTGACTGCATGCAGAGCAGGAGCTGGCAGGGTGATCTAAATGAGAGCAGGGAAACGCACGCAGTGGGGGCAAACATGTTTAAAGTTTTTAATATCAAAAGTACAAGGAAGGAGCTGTTTCACGTTTTTTTGGTTTGTTGTGCATGAGGATGCGGACGATGTTGACTATGAACCGGATTGCGACATATCAACACCAACATATGCCAACGCAGCCGGAAATTAGCTGGGTTCCGATGCACCCCCCTCTCCCCCCGCCCCCAGGTGCAGAATCCGAAAAGTGGCGAAGAGGCTCGTTTGCGGATCTGTTTCTGGGGTCGCATGATTTCGGGTGCCGCCAGGACAGGTTGTGAAACCTCAGCCCCAAACCCTGAAACCATCTGAAACCCTAGAAGCCACCAAAACCCCTGAGCCTCCCACAGCGTCCGCAGACGACGATCTACTTCCACAAGCCGCCAGCTTGGTTCAAAGGCCGCGAATAGGGGAGGGCACGGGCTTTTCGTTTAGGGGTCGGAAGCACTGCTACTAGTCTTCCCGTATGGCGCCCTCTAGAACTAATACTAGAATGGCCCCCCAAACCTTCTATAACTTGTATACTAGAGTACCACCCCCCCAAACAAAAAAAAACAACCTCCAGAAGCTTTGACGCCCCCATGCAGGCTGGGTGGACATCGATTCGCCCGATGATCCCTACGATGAGACGCTGGTCCGGTCAGGATTCAGGCTTCGAGGATTTTTTTGGGGGGGGGTAGTAGTGGGGCTTAGGGTTTAGGGTTCAGGGTTTAGGGTTCAGGGGGTCCAGGAAGAGTGAGCTTTGTGACGTTGTGCCTTGTTGCGAGTGCTGTTCTTTGATCCCCGGCGGGGCAGGGGTGCCGTCTCATACCGCTGGAAACGTCGATGCCCGAAACCTCACACCCGAAACCCCCTCAATCCTTAACTCGGCCTGATGCCCCAATCTCAAAAGTCTTGAGAACCCGAAACTCTAAACAACCCCAAGCTAGACCAGTCCGGAAGAGCCCCCCCCCTCCCTCCATAGTTTCCACTATCAGCAAGGTATCTAAGGTCCGGGGGTTTTGGCGCCCAGGACAATGTGGAAGGAGCTCGCAAAGTTCCTGGATGGCGAGCACACCTTCGCGGGAGGCACCCGAATCTCCTTCAGGGTCGGGTTAGGGTTTAGGGTTTAGGGTTTCGGGAGGGGGGGGGTGTGCTTGGGGGGTGTGCTTGAAGGCCCCAAAATCTGAAGCAACGCAGCGATAAAGGCCCACAGGGGGTGGGGAAGTCTAACCCCTGTGTGGTACGGCAAGACCGCGGTTCACCTAAACCCTCACGGCTTAGGCTTTGGGATAATCATCTTTGTGGGAAGGATGCGCTGGATTCTTGAGGGCATGCTTTGCAGCTTTGCAGCTTGAAATGACCTCCTTTTTCCTTTTGGAACCCCCCCCCCCCCCCCCCCCCCGGCTGGGCTTCCGAAGATGACATATGGCAGGACGCTACGGCATGGCCCGTGAGCTGATGCAGCCGGGGCGCCCGAATTGCTACAGGGCCTTGGGTTTCGAAGCCCGGAAATCCCAACATCCTGAGCGTGCGCCTAGAAGGCTGTGGAGTGGCCGATGCCGTTTTCTGTTGGCCTCTAGTTGGGGTGAGGGCTTGGGGTTCCTGGCCGCATGGGCCCAGGGCTGGCAGTTTTGGAGCAGTTTCGACACCCTCAGCCCCAACGGTGTCGCAACCCTGAGACCCCCCGCCCCCTCCCCCAACAGACCTGACACCCAGATTCCTGCAGGGTTTAGGAGGGTTTCGGTCAGAGAGGGGGCAAGGGATCATGTGAAATTTGGGGTTTGGGACTGGCGAATGAGTGCAGGCGTTGGGGGTGAAGAGATTAGGGTTCAGGGGTTGGGGTTTGAAAGGCCAGCGTATTTAAAGTAAAGGGCTTGGGAGATTATGTTTCATGTAGCTGTTTTTGCTTTTTGGTTTAGAGTTCAACATGATCAGACGTCTGTGTTAAGAACAAAAGAACACCCGTGTTTTCAGTCAAAGCGGGCTCTGGGTGCTGAGGCGAAACCTCCCCTTCCTGGCCAATCACTCGCCGGGACCTCGGAGGGCTCAAACCCTAAACCCTAAACCCTAAACCCTAAACCCCAAACCCCAAACCCTAAACCCCTAACCCCTAGACCCCTCTCATGTGCTTGCAAAGGCCGTTGCGGGTTCAGGATGCAGTGGGGTTTAGGGTTCAGGGTTTAGGGTTCAGGGTTGTTTAGGGTTCAGGGTTCAGGGTTCGGGGTTTCGGGTTCAGGGTTTAGGGTTCAGGGTTTAGTGCAAAGTTTGGGGTTTTGGGTTTGGGGTTTAAGGTTTTGGGTTTAGGGTTTAGTTTCTTTCGTTGCTCAGGTCGAGGTTTGAGGCTTCGGTTTGTCATGGGGGCTTGCTGCAGCCATGATCATGAGGTTGTGTCTCAGTGGAATTCCAACAACCCAAAACCCCCAGAGGCGCCGAGCCTAAACCAGCCCGGCCTGACATCCTAAACTCTACAACCCCAAACGCGAGGGTTTAGGGTTTGGGGGTCGGGCTTGTGGTTTGTTCTGGTTTGAGGAAAGTGATTCCGGGGCTTAAGCCCGAAGAAACCCCTGAGTGGTGAGTGGTGGGGATACAGTTCCAGGGATTGGCAAGCATCGGGCGTCCCTGAACCCTACACCCTGAACGCCCAAGAGCCACCAGTTCGCGGCCCGACTGCTCTTCAGCCAAATGTCTTCACCCTGCGCCGCACGCAACTGAAACGCCAAGCGCCATTGTCAGTGTCAGGTCTCCACATTGCGGCCCCTTCTTGGGAAACAGAAATAAGACGCCGTATCATGAAAGTTTAGGGGGTGAGCCAAGCCCCATACAGGGCCTCCGAAGCTTAAGGGTCTGACTCAGCACGCAGCAAACGCAGGCTCGGCGAAGTTTGTCCAGGGCCCGGCGTGATGATGACTTCGTGATGCTTTACTGTAGCTTTAGATCCTTAGCCTTTTTGGGCTTGTTGGGTTTCTTAATAAGGCAAAAAATTATTTTACAGCTACCCTCCTAAGTGCAGCCAAGAATGAGGGAACCAGGAAAGGACCAAAACTTGCCCTAAGCCCTAGAACCTTACGACCTAAGCTTCACCCCGGCACCCTGCCTGGCCTTTTGATGATCTCTCTCAAATCCACAGTGGTTTCTAAAGCCTTGGGGGGCTGCTTGTGGGATTTGTGGCTGCTGTTGCTGAGTGGCGAAGCCAAAGCCCCGAAAAAAGATATCCCCAAAATGAAGATGGGGGTTTCCGAAGGTAGGCGGGATCCCCTTTTTGGGGGCGCCTTTGAGGGATTCTATTCTATTTGGGGTATAAAAAGGGGGCACCCCCTATTGTGGGAAATACCCCCAAATGGTTCCGGCATCTTGGGGCGTGGGAGCAGCTCTTGGGCTTGGGGCGCAGCTCCATTGACCGCAGGCCTTTTGTCGTGTAGGGTTTAGGATTAGGGTTTAGGTTGTAGGGTTTGCGCTTTGGGGGGTGCGATTCTATGTCCTTGGGAGTTCTGTAGCATTCTGTATGATGGGGGTAAAAAAAGGTACAGAAATACACATATAGCCCCAAAGGTTAGCTTTAGTTTCCCGGCACTCGCTGAGGGGCCCGCCCCGATCTACTGAAAGTTGCCTTCTGCACACCGAGGCCACATCGTTCAGCTGGCGATTCAACATCGCAGGCAGGGCCTCCCTAGACCCTGAACCCTGGGTTCCATCCAGATCCTAAAATCCCACAACAAGCTCGTAGCCCGATCTCACATGTTGAACGCCAAACCCCAAAACAGTCAGCGCAGGCCAGTTCCATCCCCGGTAGGACCCTACTAGGGTTGCGCACTGGAAACCCTGCCTTCGGCGTTGTAAAGCTCATCCCGCTCGGTCAGGTTGATCGTGTACCATCGCAAGATGCTGAAGCACGCAGCTCAGGGGGCTGCGGTTGCTGTGCAGTTGCTCTGTAGTTGCTCTGCAGGTGTAAGTTGCACCCAATCCCTCATAGCCCTGAAGCCCTGCACCTTCTACGCGGGCATATCGCCCTTGCGCAGCGAAGAAGCATAGCCGGACCGCGGCAGTATGTAGACGTGCGAAGTTGGACCCCGACTGCCGCCTTTTCAAAGCAGTAGCTGCGGAACCTGAACCCTAGGCCCTAGGTTTGTCAAGCAGAAAGCAAGCTTGGGCTTTGCCATTGGCTTCTCCTTTGGCCCTCCGCGTGCCAAACATTGCGAGGCCAATCCAGACAGTGCTATGCCAACTGTCACCTGACGGGAATGGCCCTGCGCTCGGCGTCGATGCTTGCTTTCTGAACCCATGCCCCCCCTATAAACTCTGAACCTCGGAGTTGCCAAATCCCTACCTGGAGGAACATATATATTCCACCCCCTAAGCCGGGGAAAGCTCCTTGATTCCTAGGTAGCTTCATCTTTCTTGGACAAGGTACGGGGTTTATTTTTAAGTAAACCCTCAACCCTAAACCCGAAAGGCCCCCGGGAGGGGGGGGGGGTGCCCTGGAGGTTCCAGGCCTCTTCGGCTGAGCCGCTAGATTTTCGCAGCGCGTCGGGGTTAAGGGTTTGCACACTTCCGGCTTGCTTTCTTAAGCCAGAAGGTATTGGGGTTGGACAGAAACCAGAACTTTTGACATATTTTCAAGAACCTGCGTGGTGTGACGTCGTGGCCGCCGCTGCCATACAAGCACAAGCATGTCGCAGATGTCGCAGAGATTTGTTGTTCAAGCATGAAACGCGTTGACCCTCAATCCGAACTGCCTGGGCCTCGTTCCTAAAGCCCCCCAAGCCCTGAAACATCCGGGGTCTCGATCGCAGGAACTGTGGACAACCAAGAGGCCATCTCCACTTTGAGGGGATTGGTTGGTTTCTTCGCATTCAGTCGGCTGTTCGTCAGATGAGGGTTTCAAAGGGTTCCGTTTTGTCACAGTTGCCTGTCAGAGGGCCCGAATTCCCAGTTTACAAAAAACAGTCGCTCGCAATTGGGGCAGTGGGTTGTTTGCTGCTACTAATAATACTAAGAATCATAATCACACAAATACGCATGCTAATTGAAACCAGTATGTATACTGATAGCAATACAAATGCGAGATTCTTTCTACTAACTAGTACTCGCGAAGTACGAAATGCTAGATGCTACTAATACGAAACGGTAACAATAAGTATCAAGTCTGATACCACTCCGAAGGCTCGCCGCAATACTAGTACCAATGCTAGTTCTTTCTTGAGGTCGAATACTAGGGCTACATACTACAGACGAATTCCACAAGTCTCAACTTTTTGTGGGACGGTCGATCCTGAACCCACTCTCGTTTTCGAGCCCTTTGCGTGACCCAGGGTGCCATTTCCCCTTATTTGCGGTTTAGGGTTCAGGTTGTTTGGGGAAGCCTCAAACCTGAAGCCCGCAAAGGGTGAAGAGATCAAAGAGATGGACGACTTGACCATGGTCTTGTTCCGCAACCCGGCCGGCACCAGAACCTTATGTGGCACAAGCAAGCTGTGCATCTCTACGCGGTTGCACCCGAAGGAGTGTTCTCAAGGGGTGTTGCCCGAAAGCCTTCTCAGCTGGAGGGCCCAAAGTAGCGCTTCCTCTTCAGGAGGTCAGCATTCGGCCACTTCAGGGTTGGGGCCGGTGCACAAGGTGGTTAGGTTGCAGAGCTTCCTAGGCCCTGAGCCATCAGAACAGACCTCCTAAACCCTTAAACCCACCCTTAACAAGGCATGCTGCTGCACCACCCCTCGGGCATCAGGCTCTGCCGGCCGGGGCCTCACATGCGGGGGCTTCCGAAACATGCGCTGTGAGCCTGAGGGGTTGGGCAAGTTGGGCATGGGCCTCCGACCCCCTTGAAACCATGACAAAAAAAAACGCCAGAAAGTTGGAAGATGGTGTAAGGATGATTAGATCTGCGCTTCCCTTTAGTATACCTTTGGGGGTATGAGGAAAGGATGTTCCAACTTGTTGGGGTTCACTGTAAGGGCTGCGAAAGGCATCTGATACTCCACTGCATTCTCACCCTACAAATCCTTATTCTTTTGAACCCTATAAACGGCATAAAACCCTAAGCCTTTTAAACTCTAAACCCTACAAGACCCTAGCCTTAGGCCGCTATAAACCCTTCCTTCCGCACAAGCCCCAGTGCCTCCCTCTGCTCCTCCTGGCTGGTTCTTGGTAGGGAATGAGGGAATGAGGTACCCCTATACAATCCCTTAAAGGGTATATCATACAATCCCTCAAAGGGTATATCTACCCCTATACACTACCTTAAAGGGTATATCATACAATCCCTCAAAGATTATATCTGGGTAAATCTAGGGTACCTCATTCCCTCATTCCCTACCTCGCGTGAGGATGAAGCAGATGATCAAACATGAGTTCCAAAGGAAGCTCTCGGAGATGGCATTTCAGGCCTCAGCCTGGAGATTGGGGTTCAGGGAGGGTTTAGGAGTTTAGGGTTTAGGGTTTAGGATTTAGGGTTTAGAGTTCAGGGTTCAGGGTTCGAAGTTTCGGAGGTTCTTTGCACAACGTGACGTATAGCATGGAAGGCCCGATTTTTGAATTCGGGTTCCGGTTGTTGGGTGCGCACGAGCGTAAGATGTTTATCTTACAGCGATCTGCCAGTCCAAGTCGCAATGAACGGGGCTTAGGGGTTTAGGGTTTAGGCCTTAGGGTTCTAGCAGAATCCTCATATACAGAGCACAGCAATTCATCATGTCATGGGGAACGCCCAGTGCTGTTGCCCCCCTCAGCCTACTCGACTCCAGGGGATTTTGTGGTGTTGAGGCTTTTTCGAGCTTGGCACCAAGCACCCTGAACCCTAAACCCCAAAGGGCCCCAAACCCTAAACCCTAAACCCCAAAGCCTTGGAACGGACTTCGTTACAGTCCCCCACGCCCCAAAGTCCCAACTCCCCTCTTAAAGTCCAAACTCCCCTCGGCTGCCCAGTGTACAAAGCTTATCGAGCTCTTCAACCAAGAGCCTCTCAATGAAACCTTTGTCCTGGACACCGAAAATGATGGAAAGCCACGGCCTCAGATCTTGGACCGCGAAATCCCGCCCACTTCGACCCCCAAAATCCATATCTACCTGCAACTTCATGGGTTCGTGCTACTAACCGTTGCCCACCGATGATTAGAGTTGCAGGAAAAACCAGTTCTTGAACATGATTTTACTTGTGGCAGGTTCTATGTACAAGGGGACAACAGCTCATGCGAACTAATGTGATTACGGTGAGTCCTATCATTATTCTTTATTATTGCCCGTATGTTTATGATGATGATTCTTCTTATTCCTACATTCTTAGTACTATTTTTATTGCTGCTACTACTACTATGTACTTATTACTCCAAGAAAGGACAGGCTTGAAGTCTTCAGCGCGGTTGGAGATTCATCCCTGGTATCCCCGGAGCTGAAGTCGTCGACTTTCGGGCGTCGAGTTGGCCCTAAACCCTAAACCCTAAACCCTAAACCCTAAACCCTGAACCCTGAACCCTGAACCCTGAACCCTGAACCCTGAACCCTGAACCCTGAACCCTGAACCCTGAACCCTGAACCCTAAACCCTAAACCCTGAACCCTGAACCCTGAACCCTGAACCCTAAACCCTGCACCCTAAACCCTAGACCCTAGACCCGAGACCCTAGACCCTAGACCCTAGACCCTAGACCCTAGACCCTAGACCCTAGACCCTAGACTAAACCCTAAACCCTAAACCCTAGACCGACCCTTGGAGGAGCATGCCTTGAGCCCCTCAGAACCTCCCCAAAGACCTGAAGCCCCCTCCCCAAACGGACACTGAGGCCCTTAACCCCCGGGTTCTTAGTAGGGTTTAAGGTTTCGGGTTTAGGGTTTAGGGTGGGAATGAGGGAAGTGGGGACCCAAATATACCCTTTAAGGGATTCTATAGGGTACCTCATTCCCTCATTCCCTACTAAGAATCAGCCAGTTTACGCTACGCGCTTCCTCAGCCGAACTTTAAAGCTTCTTGACCCCCAAAACCTGCGGGCCCAGGCCCGAGCCCCAATCTCACTGTAGGGTTTAGAGTTGTATCGGGTTTCGGGGGCTTAGGGCTTAAGGTTTAGGGTTGAGGTCTAGGGTTTAGGGTTTAGGGTTTAGGGTCTAGGGTCTAGGGTTTAGGGTTTAGGGACCTGACTCCTGACTCTGACCGAAGTGTCGCATGGATTTCTGAAGCGCGCATGTGTTTGCATATGAGGCAGGGTTCCTTGGTGAGTATATGTATGGTTCCTTGTAATTATTGGTGAGTGTATGTATGGCGTGTCCATTTGTGGATACTAGTAATAGTTCCATCTGACCCCGACCCCAAACTTATAGCTAGCACAGCTGAAGCAACAGAGCCTCTTTCAAGCCCTTCAGACAATCCAAAGCCTACTCCCTGAACGCCCAGCATTTTTGAGCCTTCAGCCCGCGCCAACTCCAAACCTCACACAGGTTCCAAGTTGGGGTCCCTTTTTTGGGGGACATCTTTTTACGGACTCCTCGTTGCAGATGATAGCTAGAATATGAGACTGCAAAAGTCCAGAGCGACCCTGCACGTCAGCCAACCCTCAAAAGCGGCGGCCCGCAATGCGACGCCTTACCCGGCTGAGGTCAATCTACGTCCGTCTGGGCAACCCAGAGACGTTTACGGATCACGTCAAACGCCCTTTGGCCCAAAGAGTTGGGTGTTTCGGGTTTTGTGGCCCTGCTCCCTTAGAACCAGGCCTATTGAAACCCTAAACCTAAACCCTAAACCCCAGGCTCGTGAAGGAGGCCTGAAAGGTTTCAAGGCTTCTGGGGTTCACAGGGCTTCTCGGGCTTCTAGGGTGTGGGCTTGGGGGCTTTTGGCGGGCTTGAAGGGGCTTAGGGTTGGGAGTTTTTGGGCTTCAGAGGTTTGGGGGAGGGGCTTCAGGGGTTTTAGGGTTTAGGGGCTTTAGGGTTTTAGTGTTTTCGGGTTTCATAGTTCTGGCTTTAGGGTTTCAGGGTTGTAGGGCTTAGGGTTGCAAGGTATGTCCGTCCGACCCTGAACCCTAAGCCCACAACCCTATGGGTGTTGACCAGAACAACAACCTCCTAATACAGCCCCAAATGGCAGGATCCCGTTATAAAAAGGGCCCCAACAAGGTACCCAGAAAATGCGGAAACCCTGCAATCCAAAGCCCAGGTATCTATGCCATGGCAAACACTGCTGAAGCGAAGCAGGTGGGGCATTGGGGAGTAGTCACGCCCGTCCAAAACCTCAAACCCTAAACCGTAAACCCTAAACCAGTAGGCGTGGCATGCAATTTCCATACTGGATCGAGGTAACCGCAAGACGTTATTTCCCGGATATTGTTAGCTCATGCCTAGACCACACCTCACCTCACTCTAAGTATGACCAAATCCACAAAGCTTTGCGGGTGCTGCCTGAAGGGAAGGCGCCAAAGCGCGCAGAGCTGCGCGCATGGCCTACCTTAACAAAAACCCTAAACCCTAAACCCTGAACCCTGAACCCTGAACCCTGAACCCTGAACTTTCCTTGGCCCTTTTAAGCCCTAAGCCCGTGTGGTGGTTGACAGGATCTGAATACGGAACTCTCCTGAGAGGGGCTTTAAGGGCCAACCTGGGCAACCCAAACTGCTTAGCACCTCAACGCCGAGCGTGTTTAGGGTGATAGGTTTAGTTAGGGTTTAGGGTTTGGGGTTTACGGCCAAACTCGACATACCTTCAGGCGTAATTAGGGAGTTTAGGGGGTTCGGGTGAACGAGCAGCCTAAAACTCCCTAAGCCCTAACCTCCGCGCATAGCAAGCTCCGAAGCCGAAGCGCTGTTCGAGCAGAGTTTCGGCTGCGCTGCGATATGTTTGCGGGTACATTGTCGCCTAGAGTCAACGGGGTACAAGAATGTAACGAGGTGCCTGTATTCAAGGG